ATATATACCAATACAACATAACCAGAATACGTAACATATTGAAAACAAGTTATTCTACAACTTACAACTTATATACTCGTGTTTTTTTTTAGACATACCCACCTTGGAGACAGACCGGTTCACTTCCCGACCAAGTGTTGTTTTCTTGGCACATAATCACCTCATTTCCGATAAGTTTAAATCCATAGTCACACGAAAATACCATGTTATTACCTATGCTGTTTGATCCGTTTTTAGACCCATTCTCAGGTGCAGTAACATTTGGACATGTGGTTTCATCTGTTACACATACAACATATTTTATTTTTTTATTTTATTTTTTTGTATTCACAACTTAAGTAATTTTTAGTAGATCTTATCTGCATGATAATTAAACAAAAAATAGTGTGCTCAAAAGAAGGAGAATGATAATATAAAGAAGAAATAGAAAAAAAGAGGAATTCAAAAAATACACAAGTTTCAATAATTTGAATGTTTGCATGGAGAAGTAATATTAAATGCTTATGCTACACCACCTACTTCAATCGTCATCAGTTTTCAATAATAAAATAATATGAAACTGCTGAAGAGGATTTGCATATAAATTACCTTTTAATGGAAGTATGTGTATGTATTTTTTTGTTGGGAAGAGTGCATAACAAAAAGTGACTTATATGAAAGTATCAGTTGAAAACAAACTTGCAAGCGTACTTCGAAAACAGATTGGTGGGTTATCCGACCAGGTTCCATTTGCCAGGCACACAATGTGGTCACTTCCATTAAGATAAAATCTATTGTCACAAGTGAATATCAGGCTACTTCCTTCCAGATTTGAAGTACCATTCTTGTTTCCATCAGTCGGTGCAGAAACAAATGGACATGCTACAACTATAAGTAAATAATAACGTTTCTGTATTAGATTTTGTTGGATATGGTATACATCTTTTAAATGGAAAAGAAAACTAATACTTCAACCGCCTACCTGGTTTAGAGTATTCAACGAGTCTTTCCAAATTTTTAACGTTTGTCCGTGTAGCATCTGCAATTACTGGGTCTTCCGTTACCTGATAGTCAAACATGCACTCAAAATTGCTTCCACAAACACGTTGAATTTCGTTGTCATCAATGTTGTCTGGAGGTTCGAATATTGGCAAAAACGAGGGATCACTGTAGTCGCTGTGAGATTTTCCAGGTTCGTAGTAAAATAAAGCCTCTTGTGGATCAATGCTCCCTGAAAAATTAAAAATGTATTTATATCATGTCAGAAAAACACTTATAATTCAAATATTTATTTTCGGATGAACATACAAAAAAAAAAAAAAAAAAATGGAAACTTCCCATTCTAGATTATCAAAAAATAAATAAATAAAAACTATCTAGTGACTCTCCAAACAGAATCCACCCACAACAAGAACTATAAAAATGTTTTTTATATAATTTAACTGAATCAAGAACGGTATTTTCAGGGGAGTAGTATGCATAACTTTGTATTTGCTTGAGTTAAGCTACCTTATTATTTGCCTGACTCAAAGAGACAATGCTATTTAAATCACTCTGAAGTTTATGAACTTTTCACACCATAATTTGCCATGTATAAATTCCAATGACACCAACATCGGTACCAACAGGTAAATTGCAGCCCTACCTTATGGTCAAGTACAGCAAGAAACTAAGATTATTCAACCAGGTAGCTGATGGGTTTTAAACAGGTAAATGATGAGTCAATAATGTGTCATTGACCATCTTCTTGGAATTCATATAGCTCCTCCCATTTGGTTCCTCATATATAGAGAATAAACTCGTTAGATAGAGGACAAATTACAAAAAAAAAGTAATGATTATTAGGAGTGATTACAGAAGTGATTAGAAGGAGATCAGGAGAAAACTTAAAACAAAGAAAAATATTAAGAATAAGAAAAGAATCTTATAGAAAAGACTTACAACATGAAGAGAGACTTAATAGAGTTAACACACATTGTATATTCGATTGAGGGCGATGTACAATAAATCATAACAAGAAACTGCATAAAGTCTGCTGAATATAATTTGAGTTTTATCCTCTCCTGCGAGACAACAAAACGACAATAAAGCACTGTGTCAGTAGCATAATGGGGGAAACAAGTGCGCACAAGAGGGATAGGTCGGCAACAAAATTAAAGAAAATAGGTGGCTTTCCTAATGCTGAACCCTGCGGGACTCGTGACAGAACAGGAGCCAATCCCGAATGCGCACCCTTAAGGGTATCTACCACGAAGAAACGAGGTAAACCAATTAAACAACTGGCCACTAATTCTACAATTATGAAGTTTGTTGTGAAGAAGTGAATGACATTTGATCGAACGATTTGGACCAATCTAAAAATATTTCATCAATTTAGTGGAATGAGTACAGGTCGAGACACTAACCTAAAATGACGCTTACATGATAGGTGAAAATCAATACATTAATGGTCACTTAATCAAGCAGGAGGTAAGTGGGATAACAATATTAAACTCTGGTCTGATACAAAATAATAAAATGGAAAGTCCAAATATGTTTTGGTAACAAAAAACAATATCAGAATTAGCGTCAGAAAACAAAGTACTAAAATCAAGGGCGTTTTTATTACTACATCTAGTGTTTATAATAATTCCATTTCAGAACGATCCGTTTGAGAAAATTTGAAGGAACTGTGAGTTTCGTCACTATCCGATACCATGTTGTCAATTGCAGATAGATAAAACGTAACGAGTATAGGACGGGTACATATTAGCTGAGGGGAAATATATGAAAGCGTGTTCACACTTTTCTGAGCATTGTACTTATAGTTAACACGGTTGGTATCTGGAACAGGTGAGAATAATGCATGCAGAATGTTGTCGTTGTGCCTAAGTTGGTAAAAGCCAAACAAAATTTTAATGATTTAAAACAACAGAAGCATCATTGTAGCAGCAAAATGAGGTTATACCGCCAGGTAATATTAGTTGAGTTAAACGGTTAAAAAAAAACATCAGATCCCGTAAGATAGTTAGCAATGCAGCTAGGTCAAGTAAGAGATTTCTAGATGTATCTCTGGAAAATGAAGACGGGAAGTGCTTAAACAGTAGAACAATATTACTGCACCTTGGGCCTAGGTTTAAATGTCAAGATTCCTTTGAGTCAAAATGGTGTATTTTATATTTTATGTCACTAAAATTGTTGTATATGACAATAGAACTGCCAGGAATTAGATAAAAAGTTTCAAAACAGAAGACACAGTAAGCTAAAAAACAACAGCTAGTGAGAAAAGAAAAATAAAAAAACTCTCTTTGTTAAAGTTTTGAAGGTTGTCCGCATTTCACTAGTACGTAAGAATAGTATTGCAAGAAAAATGTAAACGTCCACACACAGTAATGAATATTGTAATAAAATTATGACATGTTGGCCGCACATGACACTAAACATGTATAATAAGTTACTATGCAGGTATGAAACACCAGATTGGGCTAAAAACGTAAAAGATTCTGATTTGGTGTTGTCTGGTGCATTTACTTGCCCCTTATTTCTGGAAAAATTAAATTCAAGCTTGTACTTTTATTTAGGAAGAATGACGTTGAGCTTAGTATTATAATTTCATTGATGCTGCCTTCCGTAGAAGAAGAAGCCCCTTTCCTCAGTGTTTAACTTGAAATATACCTTTAGGCTTGTGGCCTTTAACGAATCTTGAATGAATTTAGGCACTTGCCTGATTGAATAAATAAAACCAAAAATGACAATACAGTATGCAGGCCTAAGTCTACAGTCCAACATGGGAATTCAAATGTAACTGTTTCATTTGCAAATTATTAAACTTACATAATTGGCCGAAATTAAAATGTATATCCCTGAGTGAAGAGTTTGAACTGATGACGTCTCCATTAGGTGTCATCAAATCATCAGTAGCATTATCATTCCAGTTTCCTAAAAGCCCTCTTGTGCTGCCTTTCATTGCTTCAGATCCAGTGAATACTACTGACATGATGTCGCTCGTTTCTTCCATTGTGAAAGCAATTCCAGAATCGAAAATAGCCGTAAAACTAATTTTGGTACTGTTTGGTTTATACACTGAAAATCCTAAAATACATATAAATCAACGTTATTGGTAATGCAACATTATGTTCTTTAATTTTTGTTATTTATTTCATTACAACTGCCCTTATTTTTGTTATGTTTTAATAAGTCTAAATATTATATTGGCATAACATTAAAAATCATTATAAAAACTATTTAGGAACTCTCTACAGATCTAATGTAGAGATGATGTGTTTAAAACTGTTGGTGTGACAGAATGGAAAAAGGCATTTTAACGAAGTTCGATTTTCACAACACGAGCTTACAAGCGTTCACAATATCTAAGAAAAAATGTTTAAAACAATTATCTCCACTCTGTATTATTAATAACAATCGAGTGAAATGAAAATGAAGATAACGTTTAAACTAACCAAACTATCTTTGAATAATATTTTGAGAATTTCAAACGCATAAAAGTAACGAGATCCAATTGTCAATAATACAATACCAACATAATATTTGTTTTGGATTTGGAGTATTACAATACAACACAAAGTTATAACTGAGACATCAACAATCCGAAACTAGTTTCGAGTACAGTCGTCAAAAATTAGTCTACGCGTACTATACGTGTTACGGCATCATTCACTATTATTTCTTTTTAAATGTTTTATAGTAATTATATAAATTTTATGCACACTTTATTAATTGTAATTTATTTTGTCGAATGGGAGTTAAAAAGAAACAAAGTAATAAATTTTGCTATTGGCAATCCATTTACCTCTTGAAAACAATTTAAATTGTCTTACTTTGTGTATTGTTTTCTGAATATTGTATTTTATATCAATAGTTATATAAATTTTATGCACACTTAATTATTTGTAATTTATTTTGTCAAATGGGGTTAAAAAGAAACATAGAAAGTAATAAATGTTGGTATTGGCAATTCGTTTACCTCTTGGAAACAATTTAAATTGTCTTACTTTGTGTATTGTTTTCTGAATATTGTATTTTATATCAATATTCAGAAAACAATACACAAAGTAATGTTTTGTTTTCTAAATACTGTATTTTATATTACGTGACGAATAAATGAAATATATTGAAATATGTTATTTATTTTTCGAATTGATTCTACAAACTATTGCCTCTTCATAAAAGAAATAAAAAACATATAGAGAAACACAAGCCTGTATTTACTATACTAATTTGCTGACTTTGATCACTTTCTTTACGATTTGATTTATATCATTATCTATAAACAATATTAAATTAAGATATTTTTCATTTTCCTCAAAATTATATAAATAATTAATTTTTACCGTTAAACTCCCTGAAGTTTGTACGTTCAAAGTCTACCAATTGCCATCCACTATCGGATTTGATGCGAGCATCGAGTCCTCGTCGTTCACTTAAGCCAATGTGAACACTATCTGTTTCATTGAATTTTGCAGCCATTGCGGTAATACGAGATGCATTTCTTCCTGTCAATATAGAGATGTAAACATAGTAAAAACAATTGAAGGATTTTAGTGATATCAATTGTCTGTTATTTACAGCTGTAGAAAAATAAAAAAAAAGGGAGAAATGTTGTCGTTTGGGGTGTAATCCTTCCATTATCTAAGATTAAGCTATGTGATAGGACTGTCTGAGAAGTCAACAACTAATATAACATTACATGTTTATATTGAGTTTTAATTCAAATGCCTATTCTGATTATGTTTGAATTACAAGAAATCGGCATCATAAAGTTATCAAACACTAATAAATGGGCGTATTCGACTGGTTCGTTTCCTTGACTACGATTTTCGTTGAGTATTATTTTCATTCGACTGGTTCGTAAAATAGACTTCGTTGACAACGAAAAATAACGTAAACAAGAGTGCGTTAATCAGCGTTAAGTTATCTACGTAACCAAAACAAACATGGCCGATTGCTGAGTTTAGAAACAACAATTGTGTTAATATTATTTAGATTAAATTTCAGAAAATAAAAATTATAATATGTACATGAAGTCAAAAAATAATTGTAGGCTATCATAATTCAAAAACTGGATGAATATTTTTTTTACGAAAACCCATACTGCCACAAGCTGAAGCAATCTTGACTACGCTCCGTAGCATCGCGGTAACTATGCAGCCATTTTGTTTTGTCGAGTATTTACAAGTTTTCTATTCCACTGGTCGTCCTCGTTAAGTAGGATTTAACCGCTGCGCAGGTGGGTGTGGTTTAACGAAGAACGACCATTCGAATACGGCCAATGGCTATATTAACTTAAGGCAAGCACACACTGTGTTGAACGATAGCCTAATGACCGTCGGATGACGAATTTAGATTCCGATTTTTCCATTAGGCGAATTCGAATTTATTCGGTCATAGCGAAAGCGCATATCAGCACGCATGTGCGAATATTTCACCGCAAAATATTCGAGTTCAAACAGTTGTATTTTTTTTTGTGAAGCAAAATAATGTACAGCAAACGATATTTGGAAAACTCTGTTATAATTTCCCATTTTCATAGAGCCATATTGATGCATGTACGCGTTACCATGTCATACAGACACTTTAATGACTAAACTGTTCGAGTTGCAGGAGTAAATTTGCCTAGTGGCAAAGCGCATTACACTTAAACACAATAGGTCTACGTTTTAGATCATTATTGAAAAATTAACTAAAACTAGGCATATACTAAAATACTATACTTATACGTAATTTTAGCAAGGTTACGAAAACCAATTTTTACATTATTTATTTGGCATTTCTGCAATTATCATTATTTTTTTTGTTGGAAATATAAACATTGTGAACTATTTTTATTGTGATTAGATATTATACGAAAAACAAGTAACCAATGTGTATGACGCTGTTAACAATTGCGTTTTTTCTATGTATCTATTGGGAATGTAAGCATTACGAAATGAAGATTACCTGTGATTGGTTCCATCCGGCATTGCATAACAAACTGTTTGTCTAGAGCTTCGATAAATGTGTACTCGCCGTGCCCATTAAATGTATAAGACGTACCGTCTAGTGTGCGGATATGCGGATCACCATAACCACCACCTCAAGAACAATAATATATATGTATAAAACATAAAAGTCGAGTTTTAATTACACAACATAAATAAGAAGATATTGTAAAAGCTAAACGTACAGAGCCTAAAGTTAGGTTCAGATGATCAAATTTTATTTGAAAACAACATGCAACATGCCTACATATAGTCATGATGACGTCACATCATACCATATTATAGGCACGTAATAACTAATATAATCTTTTGGGTAAAGAAAATTTAATAGTCTGGACAGAGCTTTGATTTATTATTATTTTTTTTAATGAAATGGCTTTCATTTTATATTAAATTTTCATTAAAGTGAGAAATGGTTTTATAACAATTATTCTGTCAATCGCTCAATAAAAAATACAAAAATCAATTAAACAAAAGTAAAAACTTATAGAGTGCGGCGCAGCACGACTAGGCATACTCCTCAGCAGGGAGTGAAGGCGGTTGAACTTTGTGCTGGTATGATTATGTATCCGATGATCAGGGGTAATAAAACAACATTCCTAGCGCCTTGTATCCCTTGGCAAAATGTGCCGTATAAATCTCTATATCATTGTCGATGACAGGATAAAAACAAATGTGTTTGTTTGCCGAAAATCGTAACATACTATTGTACTATTAAATAATAATATCAATAAAAATGTTATAATATGTTGATTTCTCACAGCTGCTGTTAAATGTCTTGTGATAAGGTGACGAGTTTAAATTGGTGGTGTTATTTCTCATAATCAAAATGATACTCTAAGATTATGTTTAAAGACCACTTGATTGTTTTATTTTTTTTAAAATCTATTATATAATTCCCATTAATATAAGAAAGCCAATACAGAGGTAAATGACGACACTGCCCGGTTGATGAAATGGAAAGTCACGACACACAGTGACTGGAGGAAATATTAGACACGAGGCGGTAGCACATGGTGTTATAAAGTAACGCCAAATGTGTATATTATGAACCAATCAGTTTGCATAGAATACCTATTGGCGGTGGCACGTAAGTGGTGCAGTCTTTTGAAGGACGCCTGTCTTTAAAATGTTCACAAGTCTCTCTATGATGCGAATAATAACAGCAATATCGGAATGGTAAAATGTCGGCTGCGAAATGGGACAAGTATGGCACTGTTCCAGCTCCTGCACCGGAGTTATCACCTTTGTAATGGCGCCGATGAGAAAATCCAGCATACGGGTGGTCTTGTATGTTGAGTAGGTCACCATTAGGTCCATAACAACATTCAATCCCACTACCAATCTTACTGTGTATAATAGTAATAATATTAATAATTATATAAAAAAGTAAATTTCTCTCAAACCGAACTGTAACTAGTTTGAAGCTGGTAAAAACAAACTGCGCCAACATGAAAGCACAACTAACAGTTTATTATTGAAAAATATGTATGTGTCAAGATTGCCCCGATGGCCTCCCCGTCGAGAAGAAAACAAAAATCGGTGCAAAATATAAATTTCATGTAAATTGTAAAGAATTGAAGACTCGATGGAATTATTTCTAGGGTTTCAAAGCCTCAGTGGTTTATCTCCCAGACCACTTCCGAGGAGGAGACCTGGGCCCAGTGCCTCAGCTGTGCTGGGTGCTTCTAAAACATCGACTAGGTTTAATACTTACATAGTCCTAGCTTTCTAAAGAACTAAATTTCATTGGACTTTTTTCGTAAATTAGGAGATTAGCTTGTAAAAATACTTATTGCCACGTATAAACTTGAAAAAGTAAATTCATAGTATATTTATGCATATATTTTTTTAAATATAAGGTTGAAACTAAATGAATAAAAATATGTGTTCAATGAATATGGTTCAAACCTTGGTGTAGTTGCTCGAACACATTGAGGAATGTAATCAAAAGTGTTACAACCGAAATAGTAATTGTTAGGCAGATAACACGCTGAGTGTAAAGTGAACCGACCAGTGTCCGCTAAGGCTTGCTGAAATGTGCACGGACAGTCCTGTGTGTCTTCTAAGAAGCTGCCTAGGCTCTTCTCTAGTATCTCCCATTCGGAACACCAGGGATCACTTTGAAATTCGTGGAAAACGTTCTGAGCTGCACGTAACCAGCCTAAGTCCATAACTTCACTCCAAACTGCTGGTAGAAACCTGCAGATACAAATTGACTGATTGAACGAAGTCCTAACGTAGTGATAATTAAACAAATAATAAAACTTCAAAATGCAATATTTATTACTACAATAGTGGTCTAAAAATACGAACAAACAAACAATAGGCCTAGATAAAAAATGATGCAGCATTTGCACATGTATGGCAACAAAACTACAAAAAGATAGATTAGTTATAATAGGTAGTTTTCGCCGCACGAGGTTAACCTTAACTTTCTGTAAGTATCCAGCATGTAACGTGATAGCTCCTTCCCCCTTTTTGTAAACAAATTGAAATACGCATGATCAAACCCGTAACTAAGGTACGTCGAGCACGTAAAATCCTGAAATTTAAGTACTCCGCAACGCAAGAGAAATAAAATATGACGTTATACTTTTTCGTTAAGGTTAACGTCGTGCGGCGAAAACTACCTAATATTTTAAATTCTCTGTATAGTATTCAACATTCAGGTGTATAATACATTCATTAAAAATGCAAATCTAAAACCAATCTTTTAGTTGTTTAGTTAGAGAAGTTGCGTGGGGCACAGTGCAATTGGCAATGGAAAGGGTTTACTCTGATTAATGCTACGTGCATTTGGGCTGGGTTTCCCCGAATGCTACTTTCATATTAATCAATTTTCTCTTGGTATCTTTGGAGTGACTTTTTCGTTTATTTTTGTTATCTATTTTTAATTAATTTTGTTTAATTCATTTTTTTTTTATAATATTGGATTTGTTTGAGACATGAAATAAAATATTTAGGCTCATGCTTCAAGAATTAACAAATTGAAAACATATTCACTCCACAAATAGCAAAAACAAAACAACACAAACACAAAATATTCTAAAAATCTAAGTGTTCCTTTGAGTTTTGCAGTAAAGTTGATTGGTTATGAAAACACATTTTCTCGTATTCAAGAATCTCAGGACCTGTGATTATTGAAAAGTGGATAGGAGAGGGGTGTAACAGTTCCATTTCCGACAATCTAAAGGCGCTATAATCATTAAAGTTTATGCCTCGGTACCATTAGTGATAATGTTGAGGTGCTCTGGTCCAGCTGTCTACACAAAAGGCAATGCATCCCCGCTATTATGCATTCCATAATCTGCCTCAGTTAACCTGCTAACAGCTAAAGCTTTTTTCTAGTCCATGCCGTCAGACAAAAAATTATTAAAGAAAATAATGGTAATAATAGTAAAATTATCTGAATATGCTTATGATAACATTTTACTTACCAATTGGTGGTCTTGCCGTTATACTTTGAAACCCGGAAAATTCCGATATGGTCATCATCACTTATAGTTACATCGATAGCTTGGAAGGCGACCACACCGGTAGCTCCATCAACTTTTTCTTTCACCCACCTTCTTATCAACGAGGCCACATTTAATTGACCCCATTCTTCAGTATATGTGAACAATTCAATATTAACCAACTCGTACGGTGTAAATGATGTGTTCCAGGTTACAGTCACGAGTGTTGATGATAAATCATAATCTACAGTCACTGGAGTCACAACATCTTCGAAGTTCACTTAAAAAATCTTCATAGCTGACATATATGCCTGTCTCTTATACACATCTAGATGTGTATAAGAGACAGGTTTATTGCCCATATAAAATGGGTTTCTTACCTTAAAAGGTAAGAAACCCATTTTGTACGGGCAATAAACAACACCAAAACATGATGTGCAAATAGTAAGAGTATGCAAGAAAGTTAGAAACAAAGAATACAATTGAGACATGATACGACGTATACAAACGCATACGAGTCATTTGCTGTTAAAAGGGATACATGAACAACGATAAGTTTTACTAATACATTAATAGTATTATTAATATTAATTTATTTGTTTTTGTCGAGAATCACCAAATCAGGTTTTCTGGATTTAATTACAAGGTCAGTTATCACACCAGAATTCGCAACTTGTACCCCTGACTTTTAACAACAGTTTGGTAGACGCTATACCGAATTTTAATGTTCTTAACCCAAACACTTATAAATCCTAATGTATTGTTTTTACTATCTTGTCATGTCCTTTTGGATTCTTTCTGAGCCAACTTCTGACATTACTTTGTGCCTCACGGTCTCAATGTGATGCCGATATTATCAATGTCATTGATAACTAAATCTATAAGATCTTTTTGCTTGATCAGTTCTCTTCTGATATTGTTAAAACAGTCTGTATTTGTTATTTTATATTACAAACAGTTTTTTGAAACTGTTGATTCGTAATTCTAATAGGCCCAAATGTTTCTGATAAATCACAATGTAATATCAGTTGGATGTAATGAAGAGGTATTATTTAATATAGATTTTGAAGACTATATCTTTGAAAATAATGAAAGTAATGTAAGTAGTCATTCACAAAGTAGTGTCATTAAGGTAGACGTTTAAGAGGTGCAGTTATTTTATTTGTGAATAATAGTGTTTCTTTGATTAATAATATGAATAAATGAGTCAAGTGATCCTTAAATAACATTTCTATATAGAAAAGAAACCATATATTGCATATTTATCTGGTTCATTTATTAATTTGAGAGTATATACAGCACGATGGCCCAAATTTTCTATGAATTGTAATTACTTGATAAATTTTTAAAGAGCATAATTTTTCAGTTAGGTGACAATAGCTATACTGTACTTACGTATGTTCAAAACGCCCTCAAATCCATATGTTTGCCCTCCATCATTCGAAACGTAGAATTTGGTTGGTCCGGTATCCCAAAATGTAGGTGTCACACAAGCAGCCTTTAATGTGTTGAGAACTATACCGGGGGTTTTAACACCATATGGGTAAATAAAGCTGCAGCTGATGTTGTATTGAAGGTCAAAGCACGGACCTTGAACGATGACAATATCACCACCAAGCATCGAGCCAAAAGATGGAAACACTGTTAGTGTTCCCGTAGAGACTAAAGTTAGATTTAAAATAAAACCAATTTAACAATTAAAAAAATAGGTTTTATATTTAAAGTTAATAATTATAAATATAGGCCATAATTCATAATTTTATTTCACTCAAAACGTACCGTAATGAGTCTGGTAGGCAAAAAAAAGGGAACTTGTCCCTGTACAAGATGCCTATCAGAGAAACAATGATAAAGGCAAAGAGGCAAGGATTAATAATAATAATAATAATAATAATAATAATAATAATAATAATAATAATCATACATATAATAATAATAATAATAAATAAATAAATAATAATAGAAAAAGTAATAATAATGATAATAACAATAATAATAAATGAAGATCAAAATATTGCATTGAAGTGAATTCAGTTAGCTATTGAAACATGATTTTAGGGCTGGACTGTCATGAAGATGTTGTAATAATGATATTATAACAGACTGGATTGTAAGAGACAGACGTATTGAAATAGGGAGACTGTTTCATGTGATTGGTGTAAAGTGAAAAAAAGGAGTTGTGAATACATGAAAATGAGACTAAGAAATATTCTTGTGTATTCTAAGGCGGTAAGATTAAGTCGGGCAAATCTGTCTTCATAGCTGACATATATGCAGTATTGTTTGGATAGCGAACAGAGCCGGGTAAAATTTCTTTGGACGGATTCAATTTGTGTAATATTGATTTGAAGATTGGGATTCCAGGCGACATTAAAGTATAGGCTTAACAAGGGAATTTAATAAAACTAATGACAGAAGGTGACGATTACAAGTACGTTTAATGAAATAAAGTGTTTAAAAGGCTTTTGAAACAATATTTCCGATATAAGAATGCCATTTTAAATTGGAAGAAATTAGGGGATTAGATTAAAAAATAGGCCTACCAATAATGAAGGTAGGTTTTTGTTTTTACAACTTATATAGGTGACTAATTAGGCTGATATTCAGGAGTCCTTGTAATTACATGATTTTAAAATCGATACCTTCCTTTTTGCAGCCATCTTCAACAACTTTCTCTTTGTCAGTTCGAAATACCCAGCGTCCAATTACATCAACGTTTGTCGTCGTGTCTATATTTATAATCGACGCGTTTCTTGATCCAGGCAATGAATAGGACCTTTGTCCATCTCCAGCATTAAAGCCTACCTATCAACAGTAAATTACGTTACTACGAAAGTATTCATTGTGTCATGTATGTAGTGGGTTTTCGCAAAGAGAATCGGAAAATATTGTTATTTAGTGGTTAAATATAATCTCAATCCAAACCTACATATAAAATGTAAATGTAGGATACGCAAAAAGTCTTATCGGATAATGATCAACGGGAGGTTCTGTGTAGGCCTACATTTGTGCACTTTAAAGAATCAATTAAGTAGGTAGCTGTGATTCATTTTATCCCGGCCTGTCGTTGGAGAATAATGTGTATATAAAGATACCAAAAGCCTCCGTATTGCTGCTACAGTAATCACCGATCGACGCCCACACGGATTTTAGCAAAATGCGAGGTATGTGTATTCCCCTACATTTACCTCTATATTTATTTTTACCTTATTTATTTTGTGCTGTAACTCACTCGATTGGATGAAAGTTCTACTACTACGGTTGTTGATTAAAATACTTTATGACTTTGTGTTTTTAATTTTAAATTCAAGCGTCATATTTTAAAGAATCCTTCTCGATTTCAATCTCAATAATAGCAACACACACTAAAATGTGTTAAATTTTCGTCTGCAATTTAACGAAGCTTTATTTTTATTGTGTAGCATTTCGATGCATAGTAAAAATAAAATAGTAGATAATACAACCATCGTATATTTTGTCTGTTTATATGTCCTAAAATTTAAAAATGTGTAATTTAAAACATTGAAAAAGATATAATTGCACATCAATCGGCCATAAATTGATTAAATTTTTGTGTTGACGAATAGGACTTGAAGCTTTAAATTAGTCATATATACACACATGTAGTACAATCATTTTTTAAGTACCTGTATAGGCTTTCTTTTTATGGTATTGACTATCGGTATAGACTGTACTGTAGCTTAAGAGGTATACAACATTAGCATTTATTTTATTTTATTGAATACCTGTGCCGGTGTACCCCCTAGACCGGTGTCCGGAGAACCACCATTTGTCGTGTCGGTTGTCCACATGATGTCACCATAATGAAAAAATGTGAATGAATGAAGGCCATTTGTCACCAGTACTGCTTGAAAGCTGTTTCTCTTTGGAAAAAAAAAAACCAAAAAAAACCAAAAAAAACAACAAAACAGCAGTATTAGTCATAAATAAACCGAGTTATTAATTGATAGAAGATAATAAATAGAAGAGAATCTATAAACGTAAAATATTTGCCAGTCACTTTTCACATATTTTTATATATTTTTTTTTTGTTCATTGTATGCAAATAGGCCTACTGAAACTTGGGTCTTTAGCTAAATGTTGGAGCAAAAAAATCTGCAGTAAACAATATTGACTCCATTACTCTTTTCGTTGCTATGCAGTTTATGTTCTTATTATTTTTTTCAAAATTACCTTGTATATTATATAATAAAAATAAATGTTACTTTAAATTAGAAGAGAAAAATGCTTATTGACGTTGCAAGCTTTTTTGGGTCATCTTCATGAATTAAAACATCATAGATTGAAACATCAAGACTCGTGGCCATTCCTGTTTTAGAATTTGAATTAGGTGGGTTCAATTGAGGTGCCTAAGATTTTATTTTTCATTATTTGAAATTATTTTGAGTCAAAGCAATGAAATAAAATAAAAATGCAACTTAAATATTTTATTGCAAAATTCTAAAATCTAGGCACATATCTTCAACTCACAAGACTTGTGTTGGTAGATCCGTAATAAGATACGTTGTCCCAGGTTGCAATGAACAGCCAAGTAGCTCTGAAATCATCTTGGTCAATAAAGGTATCTCTCACTATTTGTGTTGCTCGGTCTGCAAGACCTTCGTTGTTGTTAGGTAAAACTTGTCTGTAGTAGACTGTGCCACCATTATTAGTGTCTACGTCAGCCCAAAACGGAGCTATCAGTCGCCGATCACCATCCAGCGGAAACGGATCCGAGCTATACTGGCTTACCTCAGATAGGAACGATATGGCGCCATCTGTGTTTACCTTTACCATTATTAGTAAGAGATATAATAATAAAAATGATAGGTTAAATTTGTTTGTTAAATCTGCTGTTTTCTTTATTATTTTACATTATTTTGAAAATAAACAAACAAAAACAAACTAAACATATTGCAGTGGAGCATAGGTAACATATATGCATATAATGATAATAAGGATAATAATCTTTGGAGACGTACGATAAAAAATATTATATTGCTGTACATTATTTTTATTTTTTGTATAGCACTATGTTCCTATGTTATTTTAATTGATGAACATTTTAAATGGAAGAACACAAATGTTACCACCACATTTTACCTTAAAGTTTTGAACTTTAAACTCAATTTGGCTCAATTTATCAAAATATTAATACATCACACAATAACTATATTATGTTAATGATGTTCTTCTAGTCATCGAAGACGTCAATACTTTTGATATATATATATATATATATATATATATATTTGTTTACATAAAAAAACTATAGTCAGATATCATGGCCAGTTAAGATAAATAATGTTAAATTTCTCGTACATTGGCTGGTCGTAATATGGGAGCGAGACAAAAACAAAATATTTACCACAATTTACCTATTTAGAATGTTTGAACAATTAACCTTACTGAAGCCTACTATCACATAACAAGAAATATCATTTAATATTACAGAACCCTGGAAAGTATTTCAAACTTCAAAATACATGCTCCTAATCTGTTATTGATTTCTGTTGATTTCTCAAGCCTTCTGAAAGCTAATGGTTTCTTTTTGGTTATTGTTAATAATCTATAGAGAGTGATCTTTTAAACTCTATGTTAAATTTTATAGCCACAACCATAGTAGCCCAATATTGTTGTTTAAATATGCAGAAATAAAAGTAGCAAAAAAACAAAAAGCAGCTTTATAATTTGTTGTACTGTCCTACTCTTAATTTAAGACGTATACTTTGTAGCTATAGCACCAATTACAAAACTTCTTTGCTAAATATATATAAGGTTAGATATTGTCATTAAACTAATATGGGTCTAAGTAATAAAGGTTTGGTCATTGAAAGTCAGTCAACCGGTTGGGTATGCAATCGGCGAATACTGCCAGTGTTGTTAGAATATACACATAATCTTGAATATATTAATGAGGAGCAGAATTATTGTGTTTAAAGGTTACTTTTCTAAAGAAAATCTTCGTGGTTTGATTTTAAAATATCAAAAACTACAAAAACTACCATTGGTTTCTTTGTCAAGTGATTTATTATTATACAAGGTTGTTTAGAACTAAAAACTTACATAAAGAGAGTCATGGTTGTGGTCATAAAACGGAAACAGTGTTGATATAGAAATCAATCCAGAGCTTCCATTATTACTGGTTGGTACAGCACTGTCACCCACCGCCGTTCCGAATGGAAACATAATATCTATGAAGGTTACATTTTGTATATAAATATAATGGTTAAATTCATCCAGTTGTTCTTTTTTGAAATTTAGACTGTTCAGACCGGATCACATTGTATGAGACAAAACCTGTATTATTTTAACTATGCGAGCTACATGACGCATATACATTGACATATACATTGACAAGTTACACACAAAACCTCAAAACACGTGCATCCGATCTTGTGCTACTAGAACCTATACATTATGCATATAGTATTGTAATGATTACAAACTGTTGCGTGAGGCATGCAACATGCATCTGGCTTAGAATTTAAGACTACTTATTAATAACTTTTGCTTACCTTCATTTACGCACGGTCTACATAAACAAAGCAATATAATAACAATGTATATCCTCATTATTGTTGTTATATTTTACTATATACTATAGTTTAAATGTTTGATTGTATGCGTATGACAGTAAATACAGAGGTGTGTTAAAAGAACGAGATGGATGTTGTACATGATTGTGTGTTTAGTGTCATGGTATCCAAAGTCCAAACACGTGACACAAATCTCTACTTGAAGAATCGATAATAGTAGCTGTGCAAATAGCTTGGCCGCACGCAGTTTTGTTTCGTGAGATGGCGAATCAAAATCTCATAAATTATTTATCATCCTTTTAAGACATAGTTTGAGCAAGCACTTTTTTTCAAATCTTTGTCAGTCCCATATAATTAGCTGCTCCGTATATCGCAATGTGAACTAGTGTTCAGCCCTTGTATGCGCCTTTATTTGAATCAATGCATAAATTAAACGATTGATTGATTTGACTCAGTAGATTCGGAATTTTAATGCATTACGGTACATTTACTGTCAGTCTGCAAATACAAATTACTAAATAAGTGTTTAATTAAAGTTTACTCAAACTAATCCACTGTGAAAGACTTGATGTTAAAGGAAACAAAATTACATAAAATATATTATTAAGACAATTATGTTGAAATTCTAAGAAATGATTTTTTATAAGTATACTTTGATTGTCATCGACCTTTGAATTTGTTTTATGCTTTGTTGTATAATCTTTATTGAATTTAAAAAATAGAGAAAGAGAGAAAGGGAGAGAGAGAGAGAGAGAGAGAGAGAAAATACAAAAAACAAACACTTCGCAAAATTATGTCCATACATCATCGCCTCATCTATTTCTATGACGAAGTTTAACGCGAGGGATCATCCATCATAGATCCGTTATGCAATTCCATAGGCCTAAAAACAGATCATGCCCAAGCCCAGCCTATCGGGAAAATCAGGGTTTGCTGGTTTTATAAATTTATATTTAAAACATTTCTTTTCCGATTTTTTACAGTCCGTCTCTTCTAAAAAAAAAAATAAATAAAATCGACGGACCCTAAGATTTACATATGGATCTATTTACGTGCATAATGCTTAAAATCGCATGATAAAACGAGTGTTTTACGAATTTGTGAGATAACTGATACCGTAAGTATGTAAAATTGTGAAATTTCCATGTATTCTTGTTGCAAAATTAATTCTGGGAAAATTATGATGTCGTGCGTTTGAGGCAACAACATTGATATCTTTAGGCCTATAAAAACACAGACACCAACATTTGAACATCGTAATAGCATATCTAAACTGTTAATAGTCACACCGAATAATACAGTCGTAGCCAAATGCCCTCCCCCTCCCCAAAAACGAACAGCCGACGCCGTAGAACTGTAGGAGTACCATATACAAAATAATATTTCGATTGAACAGAATATTATTTCGTGGAAACGAAATATTATTTATAGGGAACGAAAAAATATTTTGAGAAAAGGAAATAATATTTTGAGGGAACGAAATAATATTTCGATGGAACGGAGCTGTGCAAAGGAGCTTGATTGCATTTAAATTAAATTAGCGTTTGTTGATTTTATGGATTGTGCATGCATCCATTCTCCGTTTAAAAAGAATTTTTTTTTCTATTTATTGTACGTCATGGTTTTTTTTAATGACATATCCTATATGAATGGATGCTAATGATGTAAAATAAAATAAAGCACATACATCTCAGATTAAGCATTCATATAATGCTTTGGCATGGTTAAACATCATTAGGAAGAATCCTTTAAAGGTTACAATGCCTTACAAAACGAATTGTATTAATTTATTTAGCAACGGCAGAAAAAGTAAAGAATTAGGTGCACAACTGAACAGTAGTTTTACTAATTATTTATCTTTGTTTGTTTGGTTAAAGCAAGCAGTTGAAATATTTGAATTGAATTGAATAGTCGTGGATTTGGGTAACTAATTTTTTGAATTTTAATAGTCCTCATACAGGAGGAGTAATCATTCTATACGTGCCTCATAAAAGAGTAATCATTTGAATTCTGAATTTGGTCATTGTTGAGTCGGTAGTTTCAACTATATTCATCCTTTTGTAATCTAAATGTGTTTACTTACGACAATTTTATAATGTGCGTCAGCCAAACTACTACGGTTTGTAAGATAGCCTGCTATATTAATCTTCTGTAAGCCTCTTATAAATAATAATTCGGTATTAAAAGTACTATGCAATATCAGCAAACATGTAATTATTATCATCTGTGCCTTGATTAAGTGATTAATCGATGTAAGTAATTGCTTAATTGGTTACTTCTGTAGCTAAGTTAATACGATTAGATTAGATCTGGAACCACTGAGGCAGTCTCTGCCTCCTTTTTTTCTTGGCGCCTATAATAAATTATATGTTTCTAACTATGTTTATAAGTGAATTAAATACTTGAATACTTTCGTCTAATATTATACCAAAATATTAATTTGTTTTTAAAGTGCAAATGTATTATTATGCTATTGAATTTTCACATCTAATGTAAGTAGTTATGTGTAATGTATTAATTAAAATTTTTGGTGTTAAAAAAGATCATTATAATATATAATATAAGAGAATTTGATAAGAAATACACACAATTACCCATTATTTTGTTTCAAAGTTTAATGCGTCAATTTATAACAGAAGCTGTATGTAGAGAACGCTTGAAAAGATACGATTTTGCATTGTGTTCTCACTCACTTTGCAGATTCTGTTTATTTTAATATGCATTCTCTTCTTTTGAACACTGTACAGTCACATTCGAGTAGTTTGATTAATAATCAACGTACCTATAAATCTTACAACTGCTGGAACTGCGACATAGTTTATTTATTTACTGAAAAATAATATATGCCGGATAACATATCAGGATATCAGGGAGTGTAACAACCTGTCTTACTCACGGTCCTGTTTTGTAAAACAAAATTACAGCACACAAAATATAAACAAGTTGCAAATTAATAAAGTTGAAAAGAGACTTAATTACAAATATGACACAAATCCTAATCTAGCACACAGAATATATTGAATTTTGTCAAAATACATGTAAACATTCAAATCACAAGGTAAGTTGATCAATTATTGATAAATAAAAAAAAAAGCCCTCAAGGCGCGTGGTTCGGCCATGCTCTCTGTCAGACCCCAGTTCTTTGGATTAGTATTACTTTAGATGATACTTTCATGTTCATTGTTCATTGAGATTGTTATCACTTGCTTTAAACAAAATGTTTCAATATTACATCTTACAATAGACTTTTAGAAACTTATTATAACAATTCACTGTGATTTCAATTTTGATAATGAATCACAAACAAAAGTGAGAACAATTATATGCCTAAAAAATAAAAAAATAAAAAAATAAAAAAAAAAATAGATGTTTATAGCATTTAAATTAAAAAATATATATTTGTTATTTCTTGACTGTTCTATTGAATCCCTTTCTAAAAAAAGATATAGAGTAAGTTTTATTANTATCGTTAAAAAAAAAAAAAAAAAAAAAAAAAAACATTTGTTTTGTGTGTATTCCTCATATTTTTATTTTCATATATTGATTCATTACACAAATATTTTCTTACTACTATATTTATATTATTATCGGGAAACTCTGTACTTTACATAATTAATTTTAAACGAAAACTAAATAATAAGATATATAAACATCATGGAGAAAACTGATAAAAACCACGTACAAACAATACCTGGAACATACACAATTTAACAAAACGTTAAATGTACGACTGATTAATCATATTGGTATACAATATAAATATATACAGGGCGTTTAACACGGATTAATCAACATATAATCTCTACGAGATCGGGTATTAAAGAGCGTTTAAAACAAACAAAATAAAGCAATTTTGAACTGGCTAAATCTGTCATTTAATAATATTATTTAAATGGCTTGTGACATTCTATAGTAAAACTGTTTTGGTACACTGTCTCTTGACTGGATGACTGTCAACACATACAGAGCGTCTGTGTCACTTTCAAACGCTGGCCACTAGAAAAGAAGATAATGTATTTTGTTAATTCGTAAATTATATATTTATGCATTGTGTATCTTTCACTTAAACTTCATGAGTTAATAAAGTATAATTAAGTGGTAATAAAGAAAAAGTAAAATTCTGGGATAATATAATATACATAGGCTTAATACAGTATTGGCTTTGAGATAGAGCTTACCTATTTGGAAGCCAACGTGTTACAAATTTGAAGATCTATGTTTTAGAGATTGAAATCATCATTCCTGAAAAAAAGAAATAGTAGTTATGACAATTAAAATAAGATTTAAGAGTCATTTTTTTAAGGTTTAAGACTAATGTTTTACATATTTGTTATTGTATTTTTGGTTATATCTGTTTGACTAATGTAACTTTTTATATTCTTGAATTGCCTGTTGGTAGGTATACTGCACTTGCGCGAATAGGTCTATATTCTATTTTGTTATAGTCGAATTCCCCCTATAAAATGGAATGTGTTAAAATTCTTCAGCTAAGGTTGATCAAGAGTTCCCATCCAGCTTACCAGGGAGTTCGTAATTGTGCCTAAGTTTTGACAGATGAACAATGGCAGACAGTAGCTTTTCTAAAAACGGACAATGTTTAGAGTAATGTTGACGTTATTTCTGAAGTATACTCATGCTCCTGCCCCGAACCTATTTTTTGTGATGCAGTGTAGGAAAAATATTACTTTTTAAAATATTATATACCTGATCCCAATCTTTTTAAAATTTGCCATCTAAATTCTGGACAAGAAATGCTAAGATGGTTTAGTGTGTGGCAGTGAGCTTTTATATTTCATATTATGATTTTGAAGGATTATTAACGTAGTAATAGACACAATTACATAAAGAAAAAGAACATTATTTTTATAGCGCTATTTTATGAAGATCAGAGAGCTCAAAGCTTGGACTACAGTAGCTCATACAGTACCTTTCTTGAGCTGGCTGGTAAACCGGTACCAACAACTCTCGTCTGTTCACAACAGGTGTTCTATGGACCAGTACACAGGGATAACCCGTACTTTTCTGGAAATGTACTGCTTTGTTTATAGTGCACATGAGCTAATTGAGTACGCTGGGCCTACTGTTTATAACCCTTATCCAAAAAAAAATTGTTTTACCTCCAGAAATATAGGCGAGCGCCGTTCGAACCAGCGCCAATGTTTAGGCAGTAGCTAACCGCACCTCTGCCTTAACCACTCGGCAATTCGACTCGCCATTCGACTAAAGTTATCGACTCTGCTGACATATAGTAACCCAGATTAGTAACCCGTTAACATTTTAAGCGCAATACTTAGATCAAATTTACTTAAAAAAATGTGCATTACAATTATTCAAAGAATACATACAAATGAAGGATATAAATATCAATTATAAAACTCACTGTATTGATTCAGCATGGACTTTGACCTTCTTTTTCTTCTTGATAACAAGAACAACACAAATTGTGAAAATAGCTATACAAACCAAAGTGACACCAATAATCAAGGCCAACGATGCAGAATCTGCTTCTGAATTATAATGAAAATTCACATTTAAATAATAATATACAAAGATATAAATATAGTTACATATATGATATTTTACTTTTATATTTTGGTACACTACAAGCACTATATTATTTAAAGAAAAAGAATTTGCAAGTTTGAAAATACAAGAGGATCGTGAAAAGGAAAGATAACAAGTCAGCCTCCACCTGGACTCCAAACCTGGACCTTTCGTATACATGGCACGTATCCGCAGTAACAAACAGAGCAGACTGTAGATAGACAGAGTTTGGCCAACTTGGCGTATGACGCCATGTTGTTACCAAACAACGTGTGCGCTTATTAGCTTCCAGAGCCGTAGATAGAGAGAGTTTGGCCAACTTGGCGCATGGACGCCATGTCGTTACCAAACAGCACAGACGCATGCGCCCGTATAGCTTTAATGTTTTGGTTTTGGCGACAACATGGCCGGTGTAAGTCATGTGATTGCGATCCACCCAATCACACGCGCGTATATCGAATCCCGTGAAACAGAGTTGGCCAAACTCTCTCTATCTACGGCTCTGTTAGCGTCCTTCCTATAGCGCCCCTGGTAAGATGTAGGCCGATACGCTTAACTCCTTTGTTTGCAAAAACGCCGGCGACCGGTGTTTTTGCATGGAATAGGTTGTTTCTTCTTCCAGTTTTTATGATTAAACGTTTAGGTATGGCAATTTTAAGAATCATTTACCGATTTTTATAGATCATATGCACAAGTCTAATTATAAATTAAATATTATTTTAAACTTTTTAAACTACCAACTTTATTGGTAAAATCCATATCCTAGGCCTAGATTTTTGCCAAAACGGAAGTGTAAAATAATATAAAAGAAGTACGGTACTAAACTGCGTATTATTTCTGTTCCGGAGTTTTTGGTAGCAAATGAATTTATTTATATTAATTTTTAACTACTATCCTGTCTAACTAATGAGGAAAGACTTACGAAATAATTAGTGTTTTTTCATAAATTGACTTTATATGTGGGTATGTCAAACCCTGAATTTAGCACATAGGCTAGATTATTATGGCAATTACACAGTATGATATATCTAAATGTTATGTTAAAGTGTGTTATATCTGAATACCAATTGTTTAAATACTTAAAACAAATTTTTTTACAGATTTATAGAAAGACAAATATTGGAAACCCTGTGTAGGGTGTGTGGTGTCAAACTCCATAAAATTGGCACACGCAGAAAACCTGTAGATCAATATCAAGAACAGCTTGGTGTTGGCAGCATGGGCGTCGATCGGTGGGGGACAGGTGAACACGATTGATATGATGTCCCCTTACTTTTCAAAGTAGGGGATTCCCCCACTTTTCAAAGTAGGAGGACAGCATATCAATTGTCCCCCCACCACCACTTTTCACCAATCTTCTATATTTAAAACCCCACTTTTCAAAACGAGTGGAAAGAACAACAATTACGAATGACTCATGAATTTTGTCCATTCACTTGTGCTCTGTTCTAATTGCGGTGCGTATTTACCCACCAATACTGAGTAAAAAAGCAATTGTTTGTACATTTTTCGTAGCCATTCACTCAGTAACCACTCCATCAATTTTATGGATGCACCGGTTATCAGAGGCTACATTTATTATGAAAACAATGTACTGTACGTTGTTAAAATTAGAAGCGTGTAAACCTATTAGGCCAGCATTTTTACAAACTCAAAGTTCACAATTTTTACTATACAGGATTTATTCCTTTTGTATATTGAAGTGTCTGCTCTTGTTCATCGTATCGTACTCACTCGAGTCAATCCGAGATGGCCCGAGTGACTGTCTCTTATACACATCTAGATGTGTATAAGAGACAGGTATGTGATACCACAGGTTTACGAGCTCCAATGTTACTAGACGCAATCTCTCCATGACATAATGCAGAGGCGGGTTCGGCAAGGGGCAACAGGGGCCCAGTTCCTCATCCCGTCAATCCCGTGAAAAATAAAAAAGGGAGAAAAAACGACAAGAGTTAAAGGGAGGAAGATTTCATTATTTTGTAATTCGCTCCCCCTCCCACTGCCCCACTTTTTACAACGGATCGACGCCCTCGGTTGGCAGAGAGGATGACGACATACATCCTCCATATTTTTTCAATCTCTGCTACACAAAGCTGATAGTGCAAACAATGCCACAAACATGAAGGAATGGCCGTCTCATAAAAGAGTGGGAAGGTGCGATATCTGCGAGGATTGAAAAAAAGTTAATGGAAAACCAAGATACACAGCACACAAAATATTACCATATCAATAATTATTTAAGAAAATCCATGCAAACTGCATTTTTTTTATTGAAGGCCTACAAATTAATTATAGTAATTAAAAATTTGGCAAAATATATTATATAATATAATGCAACATTTATATAGAGCTATTTCATTACTCTGACAAGCAATATTTTTGATTTTCACATAACTACATGATATACAATATAGACTTTTCTTTCCTTTTAAAGAATTAATACAATTAATAAATTTTCATCAAATGAAACAGGGTGACAGTTATTTTCAAATTAAGAGAAGAGCTGAGAATAGGCAGCTCTAAAATACTGTATGCCATAAGACCTGCCAAAATGGCAGAGCACCAAATGAATGTAAAAATGAGCTAGTTATTAATATTAGGCATAGTAATCGGCAGGTTCTTTATTACAAGGCTAGACCAAGTTAATTACATGCAATGCCGAAATGATGATGATGATTATTATTATTATTATTTATTATTATTACCTGTACGTTAAGGGGAACTTAGACAATGGAGGAATTAGAGAACAATTTAAAAAACGACGTTAAGGGAAAACAAGGACGCTTTGTACACAGTGTAAAATTTTTAAAGCTTTTTTTTTTGAGCCAATACAAATTATTTTCTGGGACCACTCAAAATGAATACTTCTAAAATACGTAAAAATGCATCAGTACTCGTTTTACATAGGCCTGGCCTACTATAATTATAACACATGTCTAAGCATAATTTTTAAAAATCCATAAATCCCATGCCAAGTCTTTTAAGATACAGAAATGTGATACTGTACGGTTCAACCCTTTTGCAAGCTTCTTTAAAGTAGGGCCTATTGTTTAATAGTACTATACTATTAGTAATAATAATAATAATAATAATAATAATAATAATAATAATAATAATAATAATAATAATAATAGTAATTCAATTCAATTCAATAATAATAATAATAATAATAATGATAATAATAATAATAATAATAATAATAATAATAATGGTGGTGACGATGATGATGATGATGATGGTGATGATGATGGTGATGATGATAATTGATAGTAATATTAATAATATTAAAATGTGAAGGAAATTGTGCTAAAGGCAAAAAATAAAGTTGTGATTTGTTGATGATAATATTATAGTTCAAGCTTATATAGTAAATTATAGTTAGGTCAAGTTGTCCTGGATATAAAGTAGATCCCTGATAAAGTACACGAGACATTTGTTGGCGTTCCATTTTGACTATGTAATGGTGATGTGAAGATGATGAATTTTACTACGTGAAAGTGTGATTTCCGGCCATCTAGAGGTACTAATTCCTCAAATTTTCTCACCTCAGCCCCACCATAGGTGGGGCTGAGGTGGTTGTGAAATCACGGTTTTGAAGTATGTAAAGAACACACTCAAAGACAATGTTTTTAAGCTTTGTTTTCTATGGTATATGACACACATTAATAAGATTTTTTTGGATGCAGAAAATCCCTGATAAAAAAGACCATGAGATTTTTTTTGGCGCTTCATTTGGACTACCGGTAACGGTGATGTGATGATAATGAATTTTACTAAAAGTGTTGTTTCTGGCCATCTAGCTAGAGGTACTATTTCCTCACATTTTCGCTCCTCAGCTCCAACCATGGTAAGTCTGAGGTAGGTGCCGACTTACAAAATGTCCTCCCTCTTAACCTTAAAAAACAGATCTGAGCCTTTCTGGGTATGACATTAAACTGCATCGAGTCGGCACCTGACTCAGAGTACGTCTTGTGACTGCTGAGAAGAGGGGGCATAAATTTGTTTTTAGAATGTGATCTGGTTTTTCATGCCCCTTTTTCGTGATTATGACTATTTTAGATAATAATTTTTTTTTTTTGAGGAAAAAAACTAAAGGAAAATATATTCAAATTTAAGTATGAAAGTGTAATTTCCGGCCATCTAGAGTATCCCTAATCATAAATTTTCTTACCTCAGCCCCAACCATGGTGGGGCTGAGGTGGGTGGTTCCTCGGTCTGTGAAAATCCCTCCCTGCGACACCTATCTTTCGAATTCATGGATGTGTCTAACACAATTGTCACTTTATCCTCTCAAAACAGTCCTTAAAACGTTCAGAGTGCGCTACTTCTCAGGGGAGGGGGATTCGTCCCCCTGGACCCCGCCGGGGTCGTACGTATCTCGCATAACGGCTCCCCCCCCCCACCTTTCAAAATCCTGGCTACGTCCCTGAGGGGAAATAACACAAAAGATATACACCTTTGGCTAGTTATTATTTATAGGCCTAGTAAATAGTATCTGTAGATTCTTCATTACAAGCCTTAGGCCAAGGTAATTAATGCTGAAATTATTATTATTTTTATTATTATTTTTATTATTATTATTATTATTATTATTATTATTATTATTATTAATAATTATTATTATTATTACCTGTACCTTAAGGGGAACTTAGACAATGGAGGAATTAGAGAACAATTAAAAAAACCACGTTAAGGGGAAATAACACAAAAGATATTCCCCTTGGGCGATTATTATTTATAGGCCTAGTAAATAGTACGGTATCTGTATGTTCTTCATTACAAGGCTTAGGCCAAGGTAATTAATGCTGAAATTATTATTATTATTATTATTATTATTATTATTATTATTATTATTAATATTATTATTATTATTATTATTATTATTATTATTATTATTATTATTATTATTATTGTTATTATTATTATTATTATTATTTAACATTAATTACATTACAATGATAGTTTGGACAAATTCAATAACGCCGATATATATGCATTTCACTAAAGGTGAAAACATATAGGTTTCCCAAACAGGATAAGATCACAGAGGTACTCCAAACCGAATGGAAAATAGAAAGGAATCGTTACCATTATTAGGTAAGATTTGCGTTTTGTGACAGTGAGAGAGATATGATGTAAGCTGTTTAAGTCCAAAATTATTGAGTCCAGGTATTTTTAAGCTTTAAAAGAAATGTAAGATGATAAAAGGTGTTAAATGCCAATCTAATGGTACAAGGAATTGACACCAGTTAACACCACATTACTCAGTATTATTTTAGGTAAATCACTGAAGAAGAGTTGTAAGAGTGCAATTGATGGAAAACTAACTTAAGTATGCAAATGAGATTGTTTTAATGAGGTAAGAATAAAAATGGTCATGTATAATCAGTTCAAAAACTTTCGTTAATGTAGGTATACTAAAAATATGTCTATAATTGTAAATTATCTCTAACCCTGACTTTGTAAACTGAAATAAATTTACATAGTTTTCATTTAGTAGAGACCTCTCCAATGGAAAAAGAAAGATTGAAAAATCAATATAATATGTTGGGAAATATTTGGCGCAGCTGCTTTGGTAATTCTTGGACTCAGGCCGTTCCCATTTATTTTCCTAAAAGTTTCCACAACAGGATACATTCCATGTTGCAGACGCCTTAGCAAACTGGGGCTTCGTTGAAAATTTGAATTAGATTAGAAAAAATTACTTCTTGCTAATTATTGATACAATTCTGAATTTTATTTAAGTACTAACCTTCACACGCTGGTGCTTCTCCGGACCATTCGCCACTCTCTTTACATATAATTTCTTCAGAACCATGTAATTGATACCCTTCATTACAGCTAAATTGTAAAACACTCCCAACAGTGCAAAGATCACCTTGTATATTTCCATTCACTGGTTCATCGACGGGCACACAATATACTATATTAATACAAGAGCAAGATTATTTTAGAGTAAAAAAATGGCAAAAAAAAAAAATAGAAAAAAAAAAGAATACAGGAGTAGTATAAAATGAGTCCATAATTCTAATTTCAAGGTTTGTAATTTTTTTTAAAAACCAAATAAATGTGATTTCCTTTTGTTAATTAGGCTACATTGGGTTGGAAATATACTGTATGTAATAAAATAAGATTCCTGAGGTACTCCAAACCGAATGGAAAATAGAAAGGAATTGTTACCATTACTAGGTAAGATTTGCGTTTTGTGGCAGTGAGAGAGATATGATGTAAGCTGTTTAAGTCCAAAGTTATTGAGTCCATGTATTTTTTTAGCTTTAAATGGTATGATAGATGATGAAAGGTGTTAAATGCCAATCTAATGGTACAAGGAATTTACACCAGTCAACATCACATTACTCATATTATTTTAGGTAAATCAATGAAGAAGAGTTGTAAGAGTGCAACTGATGGAAGCCTAACTGAAGCAGGCAAACAAGATTATTTTAAGGAGGTAAGAATAAATATGGTCATGTATAATTAGTTAAAAAACTTTCGTTAATGTAGGTATACTGATAATAGGTCTATACTTGTTAATTATCTCTAGCCCCGCCTTTGTAATTTGGAATACATTTACTAAGTTTTCACTCAGTAGAGACCTCTCCAATGGAAGGAGAAAGATTAAAAAATAAACATAAACTGTTGGAAAAAATATGGCGCAGCAGTTTGGTAATTCATAGACACAGGCCGTCAAATTCAATTTGTTTGTTTTGGTTGAAAAAACTGGACAGTGCTTTTACAAAATCAATTCTTTTGTACACCTACTTACACTACCGTACGAGAATAATGTACATTGTGGTAAACTGAAAGGAAATACTGTAACAACAAAATTCATAACAGTCTAACATTTTGCCTTTCGAACCAAACCAAAAAAGAAATTAGTGCGCTCGCAAAACAAAGATAACAGAATGGAGGAAGGGGGCAGAAGAACTTACAAAATAGAGAAGTACGAATATTCTAGCAATACTTCATGAATTCGCAAAACTAGAAAAGTACGTTTGGAAAAAAAAAGTCTTGGAAAGAAGTTAGTCAAGCAAAATCTGATTCGTCTGACATCAACATTGAAGCCGTGTGCTCAGAAGAAGAAATATATTTAGAAGGCGACAATGTCAGAAAAAAAGAGCGCAGGAAATTCAGTTTAAAATGTATGAAAAACAAAAATATAACATGTCTAGAAAAACACGTCTACAATCAATGCTTTATACTAAGCCTATTGTTTTACTTGTCATAAAATAATATGCTATTTTTTTAGCAATTTAAAATGCAAATGCTTATTTTTTTTTCAAGCGTATATTACGTATTGCAAAACATATGTTCACATAGCAAAACAAAATATTACATATAGATAAGCATCTACTAATAACCAATTTTCAAGCGTACTTCGAATACAGACTGGCGGGTTATCCGACCAATTTCCATCTGCTTGACACACAATGTCCTCACTTCCGAGAAGATCAAATCCAGGGTCACAGGTGAATATCAGGTGACTTCCTTCAATATTTGAAGTACCATTCTTGGTGCCATTAATCGGTGCAGGAACAAAAGGACACGATTTATTCCTGTCTCTTATACACATCTAGATGTGTATAAGAGACAGGTCTACTGATGTGTAACATTTACATTATTTATTTTGAAATTATTTTGTAATGATCAATTATGTCAAATGCTTCGGAGAATTCTGTTATAACTACTGAGCTATGACTTGAACAAGAATCAGCATATTTAGATAATTTTTTGATCAACCTTATTCATATTATATAGATAAACCCACTTGTGGTAATGCTGTATTATTTTTGCTTAAAAGTTTCCCAAACAGGATTCTTTCCATGTTGCAAACTGGGGCTTCGTTGAAAATTTGAATCAGATTAGAAAACATTTCTTCTTGCAAATATTGATACAATTCTTAAGTTTATGTAAGCACTAACCTTCACACACTGGTGCTTCTCCGGACCATTCGCCACTCTCTTCACATATAATTTCTTTAGAACCATGTAATTGGTAGCCTTCATTACAGCTAAATTGTAAAACACTCCCAACAGTGCGAAGATCACCGTGTGTATTTCCATTCATTGGTTCATCGACGGGCTCACAATATTCTATATTAATACAAGAGCAAGATTACTTTAGCGTAATAATTCTAATTTCAAGGTTTGTAACTTTAAAAAAAAACCAAATAAATATGATGTCCTTCTGTCAATAGAGAGAGTTTGTTCTCATTATGTTTAGCCAGTCACTACACATTTATTCATTAATAAATATATATGGGTAACATATAGCTGCGTCGTCAGCAGGCATGGAGATAGAGACTTCTTAATTGCATTGGGTTGGCCATATACTGTATAAAATAAAATAAGATCCCAGACCGAATGGATAATAGAAAGGAATTGTTCCATTAATAGGTAAAATTTGCGTTGTGACAATGAGAGAGATATGATGTAAGCTGTTTAAGTCCAAAGTTATTGAGTCCAAGTATTTTCAGCTTTAAATTAAATGTAAGATGATGAAAGGTGTTAAATGCCAATATAATGGTACAAGGAATTGACACCAGTCAACATCACATTACTCAGTATTATTTTAGGTAAATCACCGAAGAAGAGTTGTAAGAGTGCAATTGATGGAAACCTAACTGAAGAAGGCAAACGAGATTATTTTAAGGAGGTAAGAATAAATATGGTCATGTATTAACTTTCGTTAATGTAGTTATACTGATAATAGGACTATAATTGTTAATTATGTCTAACCCCGCCTTTGTGAATTGTAAATTTACTTAGTTTTCATCCGGTGGAAAGAGAAAGATTGAAAATGAACATAAAATGTTGGAAAATATATGGCGCGGCAGCTTTGGTAATTCTTATACCTAGGCCGTCAACTCCCATTTATTTTTTTGGTTGAAAACAATGGACAGTGCTTTTGGATTGGATTGGATTGGATTTATTTGGTGTTGTAAACACCAAGGATAGCCCACGAAAGTCTAGAAGAAGACTTATTTCCAGTGGGGTCCTACTGGTGGTCATTGGGCAGTACACCAGGAGACAATCTTCTACTCTTTTCAGAAGAGTGTACTGCGTTCTTTAACGTGCACATGGCCCGGACCATCGGCTTAAACGTCTCATCCGAAAGACGGTGCGCTTTGTAACTTGTATTTCAGCCCTCTAGATTAAACACAAGAAGGCAGCGATGGGAATTGAACCGGGTACGTAGATATCTCCACGGTTCAGCGCACACACAGTGGCTATCACCAGATTAGCCGACTGAGCTAAGCTGCTCTTTAAAAAAATTCATTTTTTGTACACCTCCTTATACACCGTATGAGAATAATGTGTATTGAAGTAAACTGAACGGCAATAACAACAAACAACGTTTAAGTTAGCCAAGCAAATCTGATTCGTTTGACATCAAAATTGAAGCCGTGTGCTCAGAAGAAAAAATATATTTAGAAGGCAAGAATGTCAGAAAAAAAGAGCCCAGGATGTTCAGTTTAAAATTTATGAAAAACAAAAATATAACATGTCTAGAATAACGTCTAGAATCATTGCTTTATACTAATCCTATTGTTTCACTATAGTATGTTATAAATAATATGCTATTTGTTTTAGCAATTTAGAAGGCAAACGCTTATTATTTTTATGCGTATTTTCGATTGCAAAACATATGTTTATATAGCACAACAGAAAATTACATATAGAAAAGCATCTACTAATAACAAATTTTCAAGCGTACTTCGAAGACAGACAGGTGGGTTATCCGACCAAGTTCCATTTGCTTGACACACAATGTCCTCACTTCCGAGAAGATCAAAACCAGGGTCACAAGTGAATATCAGGTGACTTCCTTCAGTATTTGAAGTACCATTCTTTGTGCCATTAATCGGTGCCGGAACAAAAGGACACGCTACAACTATAAGTAAACGGCAACTTTTGATTAACATATATATATATATATATATATATATATATATACATAATATATATATACATATATATATATACATATACATATACATGTATATATATATGTATATATACATATATATACATGTATGTATATATATATATATGTATGTATGCATGTGTGTGTATGTGTGTTGTGGAGTGTGTTGAGGTATGTGTGTCAGTGACGACATATTGCCTAGCAGTTAACATGTAATTCGATATTACGCAAGCGTTATATCAATATGAAAAAGTGAGTAAAATTATAGGACTGATTCGAACAACATTCGTCGAAAGACTATGCCTTGTACGCTTTAGCGTATATATTTTTTTTTCTATTTTTTAAGCAGTTTTTATCATGTGCCTATTTCTATATTTATAAATTGACTATAAGGGAAATTAACACAATTGATTACAGTATAATGTCGATTTGTTAATTTGCATATTCAACAAATCGATTAATATTCATTTATTATACCATGCATATTTTTTTGGCTGTTATGTGTATTCCAGTCGCCTACCTGGTGCAGAGAACTCTACGATACTATTCAAATCATCGACGCTTGCTCGTGTAGCCTCTGCAATCACTGGGTCTCCCGTGACCTGATAGTCAAACATGCACTCAAAATTGCTTCCACAAACACGTTGGATTTCAACGTCATCGACATTGTTTGGAGGCTCGAATATTGGTACAAACGAGGAATCACTGTAGTCACCGTGACCTTTTCCAGGTTCGTAATAGAATAAAGAATCTTGTGGATCAATGCTCCCTGGAAAAGGCAATGGGTTAAAAGTTTTAATTGCCGATATAGTATGGTAAAAAGTGTAAAGAAGTCCGCACTCCAATAATACGTAGCAACTGTTATGTATTAATACAAGCGATAGGTATTATGGAAGCAGGGTATACATCCACCCAGTAATTACTTCAATTGAAATATGACAAACGTTGACTATGGAAATGCACAGCTCTATGATCTGCCAAAATGCAACATAGCTAGAATACTATTAGGAGGATCGTACGCGGCATAAACGAAATTCATCATATTTCTGCAGTTTCACTGGTAGCCTGTCGCCTCACTACTGTACTTGATTTTAAAATATTGCTTATCTTATTCAAAGGACTCAACAATGTTACAGCGCCATACCTTTGAGATCTTGATTTATCCCAAGCTTTTCGTTAGGACAAGATACAATTTCTTTATGAATGTACCCACATACAGATTAGTCTTTTAGAAAAAGAACATTGCCATGTTGTCTACCTCATCTGCACGATTTAAGAATGTTCGAATCTTGAGACCCATCGGTCATTTATTAAAATAAGGTACAAATACAATACATTGTTGTGATGTACTTTTTTCATCATCATTCATGAATCACAATATCGATTCTACCACCATTACTAGGTAACATATCAACATGCTATACTATACACTATATACACATTTTTCATTTCCTTTAATTATTTTCTTTTTGTTTTATCCCTCCCCAGTTCAAAATAATAATATATAACCAAGAACAGTTTCTAATTTTTTACATTGTTATCATTGATTTCCACTTTTCCATACATTGTAAGGAATTCATATAGTTTTAAACCTTAATTCTAGCTTTTAATTCGACTAGGAAAACTTGCTATATCGGTTTGGTTTTCTCCTGTATTGTGTCAGCTAATAACCATGATTTTAAATAATAAAGGCTGCTAATGTGCATAAATGGTTTATAATTTTGTTATGTTCATTGTAATTTGAAACTCCAAGTATTAAGTTTACTTCGACACTTCGGTTTAAATTATATTTGACTATAGACGTTCAAAGTGTTTTTCAAAATTTTGTTATTCTAGTACAACGAATAAACATATATTATTTATCGTCACAAACATTGCATATGTCACATAACTGGCTTTGCTTAAGTTTTCACATGTACAATGTTTATGCTCGTCGGGAGTATTCGGTGCAAGAGTTTAAAATTAAATTGTGCTAGTCGATTTTTTGTAATCCATAGCACCTTTTGTTTCTAGACAGTAGACCAAATAATAATTCCACATTTGAGAATGTATTTCCATTATTTGTGGCAGACTGACTCAACACTTTTTAAAATAAGATTGTAAATAACCTTAGTTTAGTTTTTTTTCTTTGATAACACAAGCGTGCTTTCTGTACTGGCATAATTATTATTAGCTGCAATCCTCGATATTACCAGTTTCAGTGGGTGTGGTATAGCCTCATACACGACTGCGTATTCAGCCATCCAGTTCGACAACTTTTAAGTTTTTCTTTTATTTCTTTGCTCGATAAAAGCTGACCATTGTTTACAATATCACATATTCCTAATATTGTTAAATTTATCAATTTTTTTATGTAAAGAGAATCCATCATGTAAAGAAATTAAATAACTGCCGAATATCATTTCGTTTTTTATTTCTTCCCACTTGCATGGTAATGGTTTAAATGTATTAAGTTTTGCCTATGAAAAGACTATATGTCGATAAAAATCATGAATATTTTGAATTTTTGACTCCCTATTCAACGTAAAATCGAAACTAGACATATACAAAAACAGAAAAAGTGAAATTTTAGTAAATGGTAATTGACACCATATGGCGTTACCCTCAGCATTTAACAACTTACTTACAAAATTTATACTTTCATCTTTTCTCTCTTTTATTCCAAATAAAATCATACATTAAGTTGTCAACTTTACACATTCACAATCAGGTATATTTATAGCTTGAGCATTGTAGAGTACCGGGTAATTTCGATTGACCTACTGTTGTTATTATCGCTACATTACCAAACATTGTGAGATTTGTTTTCTCTAATTGTTTAGTTGATTTTCTAGTTTCATGAGTTTATTAGACTAAATAATTTTTTTTTTCACTTTCTGGTTTATTATGTCCCACATATATCACAAGTACCTTTGTTTATATCTTTGAATAAATGTCTATTTTGTATGAAATTGTTGCAGTGTTTTAGTTCTCCTAGTAATGCCCCTCTGTTTGAATAAAATTTAATTTTAAACCCAAGTTTTTGCAGAATGAATTTATATTCTGTAAGGCATATTTAACAGTTTCCATTGTATTGCTGAAAATTGTAGTGTCGTCTGCAAATTGTGTTAATCGTAATTCACATAGGTAGTTTTCGACGCACGACGTTAACCTTAACGTTAACGGATGGCGTCATAATTTATTCATCTTGCGTTGCGGAGTACGTTAATTTCAGGATTTTATGTGCTCAACGTACGTTAGTTACGGGTTTGCGCATGCGTATTTCGATTTTTTTACAAAAGGGGCGGAGCTATCGTGCTGCATGTTGGGTACTAACGTTAAAGTTATGGTTAACGTCATGCGGCAAAAACTACCTATTGCTCATTTTCTTTTACGGTAGTGTGATTCCCTTAATATCGTTGTCATTGCGAATACTAATTGATAACATTTTAACTGCTAAAATAAAAAGTAAAGGCTATAACGTACACCCCTGTCTTACACCCGTCTTTAGTTCAAAATATTTAGTTATAAAGCCGTCATCATTTACGCTACTCTTTGCTCTATTTTTTTTAATTATCTTGATCTCCTTTTTTAAATAAAAATATTATATCACCCTGTCACTGAGACGAGGTAAGGCACTCTTTGCTGTGAGCTTCCTTGTAAACTTCAATTAAGATAGTTTCAAGTTCTTCACAGAACACTCGATAAAACCCCACAGGAATCCCATCTTGGCCCAAGATTTCTCTATATTTATTTTATAAATGGCTGTTTTGTCTTCTGATTTCATTGGACCTTCACACTGTTGTATTATTTTGTTCATTGTTTAATTTTGCGATTTTATTATAAAAAAATATTTAAATATTTATCAATGTCATCTTGTAAAATAATTTCATTGGCACATAACTCAGAATAAAAATTAAATTTCTCTTCCCTGCTTTTAATGGATCTGTGACAACCTCTCCATTTTTGAGTGTTTTCGTTTTATTATGTTTTTCTAGACTTTTTTTTTCACATTTTCAATCCATTTTGCTCTAGACCTGATCTGTGCACCCCTGGTCTCATTTCTCTAATTGTTTTTGTTTGTTGTTTAATTTTAGAATGTCCTCCGGTTGTATTACCGTACGTTTATTCAAAATATATATCTCATCTTCAATTGTTCCGTTACTATGTGGAGTTTTCGTGATTTTTCTCTACCGTAAGCAAGTGAGAATTCTTTTATTTTGATTTTCAAATGATCCCAGCGATTTCCGATGGAGCATTCATTATTTTTTTTTATTTCTTTTTTTTTTCTATAATAGGCCTAATTTATAATTTTTTTTCTATAATTTTCTTCTCGAAATTCCCACAGTCCTTGTCCCTTCAGTTTGGCAGATGCAATTATCAATTTAATAGATATACTATATGTTCTGTACCAACTGCTGGTCTTATACCAACACTTAATATTTTTTTTTATATAAAGGTTTTCTGTTAATAACCAAAAATTTAGACTTCTGTAAATTGCTTGCTGAGGTCTACGCCATGTGATCTGTTTAAGATTAGGGTTATGATATCTCCACCCATCTTTTAATTTGAACATTTTATTTTTATGGATTGGCGCTATATAAAGTAGTTGGTTTATTAAAAGATTAGTTGTCTGACATGTGGCTACATAAATGACACTTCGTAGGCCTACTCTTCTCCATTGCTAGAAATATAAATTAAACAATTTGATGTGCAACTTAGTAACTTACATAGTTGTCCGAAATTGAAATGTATGTCTCTAATTGTGGAGTTTGCACTGATGATGTCTCCATTAGGTGTCAAAAAATCATCACTGGAATTATCATTCCAGGTTCCCATAAGCCCTCTCGTACTGCCTTTCATCGAATCAGATCCGAAAAATATCACTGACATTATGTCATTCGTTTCTTCAATAGTGAAAGCAATCCCAGCGTCGAAAATAACCGTAAAACTTACTTTGGTACTGTTTAGTTTTAACACTGATACTCCTGAGAATAAATAGAAATTAAAGTTAATGTTAATGCAACATTATGCTGCTTTTATTTTATTACAGCTGCCATAATGATATATGTAGTTCTTTAACTGGCGGGTGGTGCTATATACACAACACAGATCCAATGATGATAGTAGGATTAAGATATACCAAATTCATTCTATCCTTCTTTCTTTTATTTATTTTTTTTTCAAATTTGCTCATACTTTTTGTCTACTTTCCATATTTAATTTTTTTTTTCAAATTTGCTCATACTTTTTGTCTACTTTCCATTTTACATTTTCCCTCATTTTTTTCTTTTTTATAATTTTATAAGATTTTTACAAAGTGAGTACCGCAATTGCAATTTGGTATTTCTCAAAAAGTTAACACCTCACTGCCAAATATTAAGAGCCTTTTTTGGTGAATTATCTCCTATCTATAATCTTAAAATAATTTTTGAAATATCAACAATGACTAAAGTTTGACTGGGACATCAATGAAGATTGTTTAACATAAATATTGGGAACCACTGTTATAAATATATCACGTTACAATTGATAAGAATATGTTTTGCGGTTTTTCACTAACCATTTTATCAAAGGTGTTAGGTGCATGGCATTCTTCATGACAAACCTACACATCATCACTTGGCCGAACCAACTGAAAAATGTGGTTTTCAATAAAATCCCTACATATATATTCACTGTACCTATGACGTCACTGCTGCATAAAGCTTGCAAACAGCCAAACCATGTACATTTCCTAGTGACGCATACATTAATATAAAGCAAATTGCTATCCTCGTTCTCTATTAATAAAAATTAATAAAATTATCTGTGATTTTGTGTTGGAGTATTTCAATACAGCACAATGTTATTCATATTTTAGGAACAAAAATAAACGTAAATAGGCCTATGAGCTAAATGCAAATAAACGGGCAGTCAACACGTTAGAAGTATTTTGGAATACGTTTTCTGGATAAAAAATATCCTAAAATTTCAGATTGTAAATTATCATTGCAATCTGCTGACAATTAAAATTTGCATTTATGTGGCTGCTCGTTGTTTTTATGGGTTTATCCCATTTGCCATTAAATTTATATATTTTTATTGAATCTCTCTTTTTGAGATCCAGCGGGCCGCCATTGATGCACAGTAGAGATTGTATCTTTAGATCTCCGATTAGTCCATGAGACCATCGACTAGTGCTGTCTGGTAGAGTCTCGTAGAGGACGCGTTAAGAATGACAAAATATACTCTGTGTTTACTGGAACAGTCTTCCGCCCCATAACATTCCATAATCAAGTAGGCGCATAGCTCTTGTTCCAATATTTGCATCCACACCTGGGCCGTATCTATATACTGTCTTGGTTTGGCATTGACGGTTCATTAGCGATGCTGCAGTTGAACGTCGGGCTAGCCTAGGCCCTGCTCAAGCTGGTCAGAACGTTTGGTCTTCATCTTTACCCTAGCTGCACTGATGAGGCCTAGAAGGCCGAAACGGATCCGGCTGCAGATATTGGGATTTTTTTCAGTGGATACTTAGTTTGTTTTGTCATTCTTGATCGGATTTTCTCTACTGTTCCGTTTAAACTTTATATTATCATTATTTGCATTTATGTGGCTGCTCGTTGTTTTTATGATAAATGTTTTTTTTTACCATTAAACTCCCAGTAGTCTGTATGTTCGAAGTCTACTAATTGCCATCCGTTATTGGATTTGATGCGAGCATCGAGTCCTCGTCGTTCACTTAAGCCAATGTGAACACTATCGGTTCCATTGATTTTCGCAGCCATTGCGGTAAAACGAGATGCACGTGTTCCTGTTATTGTACAAATATACATAATTAGTTAACAATAATGAATAATTATAGTGATAGGGCAATAATTACATTTGCTGTTATTTTCAAGCTCCTTTTTTTGGTCGTTTGTGGTCTATCCTACTATCAAGGCATTATAATGTAATAAAAATAAATCAATCGCTAATATTAACTTAAGGGGAGAACGCACTGTTTCGTACACAATGGTGTCGGCCAACGATCTCTATTTGTCCTGAGCGTTTTACTACGAGGTGGCGTCTGCTGATATTTGGTGGCAGTCTGGACGGATCTGTTGAGCGGATCCGTCAGATTACGTTCCCTATGGACCGGAATCGCGTCGGCCGACGAAAGTCCGGCGTAGTGCGTGAACTGCTTTAAGTCAGATATCCACTAGGCGAATTTATTTGCTTGATGCAAGGACTTTTAAGTGTACAGTTAAACGCCCTTGCTTGAAACAACGAAGAAGTATGACCTGCGCGGTTAAATTCACATTTGCATCCTTAAAAAAAAAAAACACTGTTCACCATTTCGACGGCTTGCGGGTGGTTGCTTCAGCGAATTTTGGAGTAAGAACAATTTCTACTTCTAGCGAAGCGAAATAACGAGCAGTCAATCAGATTTAGTGAAACATTTATAGAGTCTGAGGCTATGGTGAAACTCATCATTATACGCTAGCCTACAACGACAAAAGCGAATCGATGAACGTATGCGTTGAAATGATATGTTGACACGTCAATGAAAACGGGGCGGAAAATGTGTGTCGTATCGCGAATCCTTTCGTGAGAAAACTATTCATGTCGTGCGAATAAATTCGTCTAGTGGAAACCACATACACTTATACAAAACATTATATTAGATTGTTAATTGCAATCAATCTTTATGCCTATATTAAAATTGAAGACCCTAAGATTAATCATATTTTGGTTATTGTGCAATTATCATTAATATTCTGTTTGAAATATACTTGCTGTGAATACAAGATCAAATCAAGTAACTGATGATTATAGCTTGACATTGGCATGTTCTCCATGTGTCTATTAGGAATGACCACTTTTTGAAATGAACTCGTGATGATAAAGGTTTACCTGGGATTTGTTCCGTCCGGCACTGCATGACGAACTGTCTGTCGAGGGCTTCGATAAATGTGTATTCGCCGTGCCCATTAAATGTATAAGAGGTACCGTCTAGTGTGCGAATATGTGGATCACCATTACCACCACCTTAAAAGAGTAATACCAGCCATAAACACAAATTTAAACACAACAATCATATGAAGATGTATAAGAGAAGCATAACTAAGGTAAACATGACGCCAGCGTTTTGTGGCGATGTGTATATTTATAACCTTTTAGAATTATGCTTTTAAATAATATATAAAAGTTTCCAATTTTCTTTTGATATAGATGAATGGTCATTTCATTTTAATTATTTAGTCAGTTTCTTTAAAAATAATCTCAGTAATAATATACAAATAATCAAAAGAAATGGAAACACTTGTCGTGACAGAATAAACATAACGAACTGTATTTGTTGGGTTATGTTATTCCCCAGACAAGAGTAGCAGAGTACTATCAAAATAACAAATAAAATATAGCATCTGTTAAATAATGAGAGTCCGAGTATTAAATCACCAAAATCCTCACCATAGAGTACTACAGTGTTACGTCTGCTATCGTTGCAAAAATTGTTCAACCGGACGCCATTTTCACCACTGACAAACCATTGATCTCAATTTCTAACGTAATTATTAAGATGTTGTATCTTAGTTTTTCTTTGTAAATTTTAATTGATGATAAATGTGTGTTCGATAACGTTTGTGTTTTAAGTACATTTTGATGGTAAAATATTAGATTTCAAAATGCCTATTCCAGACAGCCTATGAAGTCTTTCAAACGCAATGAACGGTAACCAACAGGACTGTGGTACTCTATATGTAAAGTCTAAAGGTGAGGATTCCTGATTTGTGAAATTTCATTAGAGATAAATAAAATGGGACTCTGGGGTTAAGCTAAGAAACCACTTAATTGTTTCTACTTTTCATATCTGTTTATATAAATATTATTCCATTCAGATTAGCAAACGGTGTTATTTAAAATCCTAGCCAAGAATATTATAAACCAATTAGTTTGCATAGGCCTAAACTATATTTAAGCTGGGCCTACCAATTGGCGGCGGCACGTAACTGGTGCAGTCATCTGAGGGACGCCTTTCTTTAAAATGTTCGCAATCCTCGACATGATTCGAATAATAACAACAATATCGGAATGGTAGAATGTCGGCTGCAAAATGGGACAAGTAAGGCACTTGCCCAGCTACTCCGTGTGGGGTCATGGCTCTGTAATGGTGCCGATGAAAAAACCCAGCATATAGTTCATCTTGTATGTTGAGCAGTTCACCATCAGACCCGTAACAACACTCTAGGCCACCACCGGACTCACTGTAAACAATAATAATGGTAATAACAGTGCAAACATTGTTGACAAAATTGTACACATGTACAAAATATATTTAAAAAAAAACATTAAAAAATACCAATGTACAAGACACATTTTATTAGAAACAATGAAAACTTCCAATAAACATTTTAAATGGCCAAACATAAATAAATAAATTAATAAATTAAAAAAAAAATGAATAAATAAATATAATTAGAACTATCGTTCAGATCTAAACTTCAGCAGATGCACATAAAAATCAGTAATTATATAATTTATTAATTTTTATTATAAAATTAATGATATAGTAGTAATAGTAGTAATAATAATATAATATTAGTAGTAATAATAATATAACTATAATACTATAACAATAATAACCTAACGGTGCAAGTTGCATAAAAACATTACCAGTGTATTTATATTGAAAAAAAATGTATTCAGGGCTGCCCCATTGGTCTCCATGTTGGGGAGAAAAATATCTTCGATAAGAAATACAAATTTAATGTAATGTTTAAAGGATGTGAGACTAGATTAATAATCCTTTAGCCCCACTACCAAGTTTCAGTGGTGCTTTGAAGGGAATTCACACACCGCCTGATTGGAGGTAACACACTCGGGAATGTATTCAAAAGTTGCACAATTTAAATAGCAATTGCTAACAGATAACACGCAGCGAATTTGACTCCACTTATTGGAAGCAACTTAATTTACGTGTTTTGTATTTAGATAGAACTCTTGCTTTCTACTTTTTTGATACATAAAAGGTTCTATAGTAAAATGAATAAAAATATTTGGTTCAAACCTTGGTGTATTTGCTCGAGCACATTGATAGTAATCAAAAACCTCACAACCGTAATAGTAATGGTTTGGCAGATAACACGCTGAGTGTAAAGTGAATCGACCAATGTCGGCTACCGCCTGCTCGATGGTGCACGGACAGTCTTGTGTGCTCATTAAAAAGCTGCCTAGGCTGTCCTCCAGTATCTTCCAATCAGCACACCAGGAATCACTTCGAAAGTCATAGAAAATGTTCTGAGCCGCATGTAACCAGCCTAAATCCATAACTTCACTCCAAACACCTGGCAAATACCTAAAGATACAGAGTGACTGATTAAATAAATGATCATAACTCACAACGAAACTCAAACTACGGTAGTTTTAACTACCAGCAGGGTCTTTTTTTTATACGGCAATACAATAAACAAGTAACAAAGAAAAAGACAAACAATTATTGCAAAATTAGCACAGATATGGACTAAAAGGACACACAAAGTATCAGTAGTTGATCTACGTTTATGTGGATGAGAGTTTTTGGAGCGACAACAGAAAAAGCAAGTCTGTTCTGTTACAGATATGCAGCAAAACAAGAACATATAACCAGTGGCACCGGGAGGCCGGGGTAACAAGGGCAAGCAGGGGCCTGCGATAACTAGGTAAAAAAAAATAAATAACAATTATTAAACGTATGCATTCATCCAGTATCATTCATGTGTTCATTGTAAATAAAGCTGACCGTTTATCTATTGCTAAATATAATTAATCGCTTCTAATTCGTTTTCATGAATATTTTCATGACTTCTACTTCAGAGTTTATGTTTACAATGTATCAAATAGTATTTTTTTTATGTTATTAATTAATAAGTATAAAAGACTTGGACCATAGACATTGTCAATATACATACAAGTTACAAAATATGAATATACCTGATTGAAAATCGATTGCCAAATAAACACTGAATTAATTTATTAAACCAATGGCGGATTTTAGAGGGGATGGGGGGAGGGGTAGAGGCCCGGCACCCACGTCAAAACATTTAGAAAAAAGGGAAATTCCACTAAATTTTAAGACTAAAGTGCCAATTCCGGACATCCAGAGATGCAATAATCATAAATGTTTTTATCTCAGCCACCATGGTTAGGCTGAAGTAGATAGACCGTCCATTGTGGAAGTCCTACTCTGGGGCCCTTTAATTTAAAATTCATGTATCCGCCACTGTAAACGTTGATACCTATGTTTTGAATCTTTTCAGCACGTTTGAATATTAAAAGGAAGCATTTTACTTTTCTCGTTTCTGTACTTCATTTTTTACGACCTGGTAAAATTAGTCCTCTAATCCGTTAAAAGGCCGTAGCTTCCGAGACGGGGGTGGGGGAATCTGCCCCTCGATCCCACTGGGGCCCCAGGCGGCCCAAATTCCCCAACCAATTAGACCCCGGCAGGGAAGATTCCCCGGGGCTAGCGTCCACTCTCGGCGACCCTGCAGATAACCTGAAAGATTGCAACTTTCTTGTGTAACGTAACGATTTTCGTGAGATGGATGGTTGTCCATTACAGGCATTTTATGATAGAGAAGAATAATTTCGAAATTTAAACGGAGCCAGTGATGGTCTTTGAAAATAGGTGAAATATGGTGTCAAAGTTCAGTTAGACAGAAAACATGTGTTACTGAGTTCTGAAGCCTTTACAAGGGTCACAATCCACCTTCTGAGTCTGATAAGTGACGTGATTTGTATGCGGCACTAGCGTTGTTACAGTTAACGCTCGATTTAATACACTTTCAAGATGGCAGCTCGGTGACTGGTATTGCTGAGTGTATCTGTTGTAACCATAATTGTTGTTTCTGTATTTTTAACATTTCTTTTACCAAATCACTAAGATGTTTCAAATTTCGTCGGAAGGCGTTAAGACTTCATACATCGAAAAGCATGAACGATATGGATGGAAGCGGTTTGGCGCAGCGGGAACGGTTTGGTTTCCCAACGTCGAAGTCGGGGTTTCAATCCCTCGCTGTTCAGTTCGCTTGTGTCCTTGAGCATGGCACTTTATTTGCATTGCTTCTCTTCACCCAGGAGTATAAATGGGAACCTGGTGGGGGTTACTTGCTCCTGCGCTGATTACCAGCAGCAACACTTAAAATGTGGACCCAATCACCAGGGAAAAAAGAACTTCAGCGCTTCGTAACTGAAAATAAATGCGCTATATATAATACAAGTAACAAGTTACAAGATATTGGATTGGATTTAACACGAAGGATAACACATGAAAGTATAAAGAAGACTTATTTCCAGTGGTGTCCTTCTAGTGGTGAATGGGCAGTAAACATTGGGGGACAACCCCTACTCTTTTCCGAAGAGTGTAGTGCGTTCTTTAAAGTGCACATGGGCCATAATGCGCACATGACCAACTGTTTAAACGTCAAATCCGAAGAGTGTGCGCTATCGTAACTTGCACATCAGCTCTCTAGCTGAAATACAAGCAGAGCAGCGATCAGACTTCAACCAGGGACCAAGAGAAATGTTCACAATACACCAGTGGGTACGGTTAGTAGGTGGCCTGCTGTCTGCTGCTGTGCACACATACATGGGTTTAAGAAGTTAATCTTAAGACTCGCTGCAGTCATACTCATAGTCAAAAGAAAAATCTAGCACCATATACAATACTGCCCTGTCATGGAAAACTCACCTAACTGCATTTAACAAAGTTCTCTGAGATAATCAACAAAACGTGTTATTGTCTTCGCTCTCTCCACGCGTAAATAATTGAATCCTTGTTTTCACACGATTTTAGAGCTTTTATAAGTACTGTTCATTGTGTAGAACTTTAATTACTCTATATAATATGCAATATGTCACCAATATGTCACATTTATTGTTTTTTCATGACATACCGGGTCAATCACATGTAAGAAAAACACGAAAGACTCACTCAACTGCATTTGTCATGAAAGAATCAACTAAACTACAGTATTTATTGAATATAAAGACACGTTATATTATTAAATAATATTAATTTAAGATTATAAGTGATATTACATCAACTTTTGTGAGTAAATTTATGATTAGGCCTATTTTTTTTTTACTATGATGGCAGAGACAGAATAGAATACAGAAGCACGCATACTCAATATAGCACCCTGTTTATGATTGTCTAATCTAGGCCTATGATTGTAGATAATTAAATTTAAATGTGATTATATTTTAAATGAAAATAATTTAAAAAATGTTTTGCAATTGTATTTGTAGGCATTTCTGGCATTATTTTCGGACAATGCTCTCTTTATTTTTTGTCTTCAATGAATTCTCTGTTTAATCGTCTTTCTCTATTTAATATTTTATATAGATTGTTTTTTATAGTTTCCTTTTTCAGAAAATCATCCTATTTTGTCTTTCACATAAAATTGAATGTTAAGCATAAGAACAATATATGTTGAACTGTATGCAATAAATATAATAATAATAATAATAATAATAATAATAATATTAATAAATAATGATACAAATAGGATAATAATAATTAAGTTAATAAGTTTTTTTAGGTGGTCCTTAAAAAAACGTCAAGACCTTCCTCATTAATACATATTGGGAGCTGGTTCCATTATGGTTCCCTGCCAGAAAAAAGGATCGATATCCATATTTTGCTAGTATGACTAATGCCAAAAAAGTATGAGATAATGTTTCTTTAATACCAATATTGTGCACCAATGAAGATATTTTTTATAAAAATTAAATTGTGAAAGCGATATTATATACAATCGTCTTTCTCAATGATAAACAATATGCAGCACTATGCAGTTGAGTGGGTTTCTCATGATAAACTATTACATAGGCATTAAATGCCAGTTAAGTTAAGTCTTTCATAACATTTTGCCGTTGAGTGCGTCTTTGCTGACAAAAGTAACACAGACTTGTTGAGTGATATTTTAGTTTTTAAATTTCATATTATTTTCCGTTATAATTTCAAAAATCTGAATACATCACAAGGTGTGTTATGTCCCCCAAGTGCAAAACGCTGAAAAGGTGCATTTTGAAAAATTGTCAGTTGAGTGTTATTTTTTTCATGACAGGGCAGAATATTTCTGAACGTTACACTAGAAAATACATTTCAAAAGCCCATAAAACCTAATAACCCACCACCCTAAATGAAGTGATTTCACAGTGTGCAGCGACGGTGTATGCCTGTCCTGCCCTAAAGGGGTTGCCCTGAGACATTCATTTGTCTTAATGGTCAACATAAACGATTTAATTTAACCAATTATGCTAGGCATAACCATAATCATATGTGTAGACTGCAAATATAGAATACAGTCTGCATTTGGAAGTATTTCCGTGGTTCATTATTGTAGGATTGTGGATTGTGCAGACCCCCTGGCTTTGGCTGTTTATTAAAGTCACAGCTGAAAATTAACTTCTTTTTTTTAATGTACAGCGATAAAATATTACATTAAGTCAGTCAAGTTATTCTTTTATAAAATATATTCTTAAATAAATAATTACTTAGCAAGCTAAGTCTGCTCATAATTTACATAAATTTAAAGTAGGTCTACAGCCTCTCTATTCGGTATCCAATGTTTTGATTTAATACATACAGCATACAGATGACGTCACTACCCCACGTATCCAAGCGTAAAGAATGAATTGGATAGCAGAAGTTCCACACAAGATATACGATTACAGAAATCAATGTTTGGAGTAATAAAAGCATGAACGAGTCATTCAGCAGCGGGGCGTGAAATGTATGAACAAATAGATACAATTCGTATAAGATTAAATATCAAAATTTACAGACAGATGAAATGTGGTTCGGAAAGGTAAAATTTAGAGGTACCATAGTCATTCAAATAGGTACCATTGGCCCCCACAGTAATGGGATTGAGGTGCTACCCTAACATCAATCTCTGAGTTCCTCTATTTAAAATTCCTAGATCCGCTACTTTGTCGCCCACTGTCAACAGCTAGCTACATCTACTTTTCTGCTGATTCGTTACATCACATTATGTCAGTTGTACACTAATCAATTCTCCAGATAATCCCTGTCTTCGATTAGGTACCATAACTGTACCAAAAGTCCATTCCACTGGTCTTTCTATTTAGTTGAGTTATTTATGTTTTTAGTACTAATACTCTGTGTAATATTTATATTTATATTTTTGTGATATGTATTTTAAATTTTTTTTTATTGTATAAGCACAGGAATCAAGTTCTTGCAAGCTTTTGTATGTGACAATAAATCTGTATTGAATCTTGAATCAACAATTATTAAGAGAATAATTGTATTGATACTAAATTTGGTTATTATTACGATTCATGAAATAATATTTTACTTACAAATCGCCCTTGCTGTTCCACTTTGAAACCCGTACAATTCCGATATGGTCATCATAGTCTACAGGTATATCCATAGCTTCGAATTGGATCACACCTAAAGCTCCAACCACTTTTTCTTTTATCAGCGACCTATTCAAATTGACCTCTAAATTTTCCCAGTTTTCCGAATAAGTGAACAGTTCAATATTTACAAACTCGTAAGGTGTTAATGATGTGTCCCAGGATACAGTTACGTATGGTGAAAATATAACATTTTCTACGTTCACTGGAGTTATAGCATCTTCTATGTTCACTTAAAATAGAAAGGTAAGTTTTATATATAAATAATTATCAATAATGTTATTAGTGTATTATTAAATAAAAATTGTTGCTTCGTGTCTTTTGCAACAGCAAATAACTCCCTACTACAAAATATCAAGTGGATGTTGTTAAGATTTTAATATTTGTAGAGATACAAACTTTACCATAAAACATAAGATTATTATAAAAATAAACAATGTAAAGTAATCCTTATTTTAAACTTTGAAAACCGGATATTTTTGAAGATTTTACCTAGCAAAAGTACAAACACAGCTGTGGTCTTGTTCATTATCTGATCTTGGTTGTATGCTGTAAGCTCTTCTAGTATTCAAATTTTAAGAATTATATATAACTACCATCAGACAGATGAATGGTCATCAATCTAGATTGTCTTCCACAATATTTACTATATAAACATGTTTTTGATTTCAGGCTTAAAAGGTGTAATTATTATATTGCAAGAAAATATCTTAGTGTTTTTTTCGATTTTAATACGGGACCCCCCTGAATCTGTAAACTATATTAATCATGTTGGTCTTCTATATAGAAAAAGACATACTTCATACCGTTTATCAGGTTAAAGAAAAATAAAGTAATCATTGCAAGTACACAGCACAATGACTTTGATTTACTAAGCCGTATTTCCCCTATGAAAAAAAGAAACTTACGAAAGTGCATCAAGCACACTTACGTATGGTAAAAACGCCCTCAAATCCAAATGTTTGTCCATTCGACACAAAAAACCTGATTCGTCCAGTCTGGTAAAATATGGGCGTCACACATTTAGCTTTTAGTTCGCTGAGAACCACACCTTGAGTTTCAGGACCCGTATCATGGTCAATAAACTTACAGGTGATGTTGTGTTGAAGGTCAAAGCACGGACCTTGGATGAGGATAGTATCTCCGCCAAGCATGGAGCCAGAAAATGGAAAAACTGTTAGTGTTCCGGTAGTCACTAAAGTTATAAATATAATAGAAAAGATGAATAAATTTAACAACGGCAGTACTAAAACATAAAAAAGGGTGATGACGATAATGATGATAATTATAATAATATAAAATAAAAAAATAACAACAACTACGACAACACGAGGACGGCGATGATGATATTTTTTATGGTGATGACAGTTAAGAAAAAAGAATATAAAGAAAGCGATGCATAATTTACACAAGAAACGGCAAATATTCAGAGCTTATCATACTGATTCATAATAGGCCTACACGATCTAAATATCTGTATACCTTCATCTTTGCAACCGTCTTCGACAACGTTCTCTTCGTCAATTCGAAACACCCAGCGTCCAATTACACCAACGTTTGTTGTTGTCTCTATATCTACAATGGACTCACTTCTTGATCCAGGCACTGAATAGAAGTTTCGTCCATCACCAGCATTAAAACCTACCTATCAACAGTAACATATTTTATTATAAAGTAATTCTATTATATCAATTTCTAATAAAAAATTGAATGGACAAAATCTCCCTATCAATAACGGAATGTTACCTTTTTATATGCTTTGGCATAGACCCTTAATTGGCTGGAAATGTTTGTTGTAAAACGTCTGTAAATCAGAGAAAGTTATTTAATAATTTAAATGATTATTCAATAATTTAATTGATTTCTTTAAGGTTTTCCATATCCGTTTTTTCTCGAACTACCTGTGTGGATGAAACTACTAGTAGGCCTACTGCTCGTAATTAGAATACTTTATTATTTTGTTTTCTACTTATATATTATGTTTTTATTTAACTATAATTTAAGTTTTTTTTTTTTTAAATAATAAAATATTTAAAGGCATAATGAAATACGCCTTCTTGATTATATTTTCTCTTGACTAGGTAGCAACAAACTCTAAAACAAAATAAACCATTTCAGCAATTTATCAAATATTTATCATTTGTATCAATATTTAAACATTTTCAGAATGTAAGTAGCTAAATTCCACAACTGAATTGTTAACAAAGCCTATAAACAAAAGGTAATAGGACTTTTATGATTATGTTAATTTACTGTCAGCGAAACTGTATAGATTAAGACGTTCATAAAAAACGCATCAATTGTGTTTTTGAATACCTGCGCTGGCGTACCACCTAAGCCGGTGATCGGAGAACCACCACTTGCCGTGCCAGTTGTCCAATTGATGTCTCCATAATGAAAAAAAGTAAATGAATGACGGCCATTTGTCACAAGTATCGCCTGAAAAGTATTTCTCTTAAAAAGTAAAATATATGAGCTGTATTAGTCATACATTATTACATATAAACAAGTTTAGTAACTGTGACCATAAATAGAAGATTATTTACAAATATCGGCCACATTACTGAAACTTGAGTCATTATATTGAATGTTGGAACAAATAATACTCTAAACGTTTCAATATTGACTTCAGTTATGTAAAGAATAAAGGTAAAAAAATTCAAACTCATGGCCTCAATTTTTGTTTGCAGAGGTTTGTTCATTTAAAATTATTACTAAAACAATACAAACAATTTGAAAAAAAAAAAAAAACTTACTGGAAATGAGTTAGAAGAACCGTAATACGACACACTATACCAGGTAGCAATGAATAACCAAGTAGCAGTGAAATCATCCTGATCTATAAAGGTATTTCTCACTATGACTGTAGCTCGATCGGTCAGTTGTTCATTGTTTTGACGTAGAACTTCTCTATAGTAGACTTGTCCACCTTCTCTGGTGTCTACGTCAGCCCAAAATGGAGCTACCACTCGCCGATCACCATCCAGCGGAAAGGGGTCAGGGGTAAACTGGCTTACTTGCGTTAAGAACGATATGACGCCATTTGTATTCACCTGTACCGTTACCAGAAACAAATTTAATGTTATTAATGATATATAATAGGTTAAGTTATAAAAGAATATATATATATTAAAAGGCAAAATACTGAAAAACAACAATTCTGTGGGAAATAATGGCTAAAAGTTAAACGTATGTAAACAGCCAGAAATAGAACCAGAGCTTTCGGACAACACTAGTCCTTCCTCAGTGGCGAGTGAGTGAGGGTTGAAAAAGCCAGATAATATAAAATGAGAATTTCATGCAAGCATGATTGGAAACAATAAGCTGAAAAGGATCATATATAATCACATTGATAATAGGTTAACAATATTTTATCTCTCTACAGCCCTGTTCCATGAGGAAATTCAATTAAACATAATTATTTAGGGAGTGTGGAACTGTTTAAATGACATAATCTTTTCTATCGGCAAGAGCTCAAATAATTATTATTCACCATTGAGTTTGTTTAAGTATAATGAGTAGGATAGCATATTAATATCTAAAGAATACTTGTGAGTTGGTATCGTGATAGGTATTTCGCCTATGCCTACATGTTACGCCAACTAATATTTATTTTTTCAATTAATATATCAAATTTCAGGGTGACATATGTTACAATATTTCTCTTGCAAACATAGGTTGCATCGCTTGTTAACATTTTTTTTTTCAAATAAAACATTCGGCTTATTACATATTTTGTGATGGTTGCAAGCATTATGTTTTTTGTACATTTTTACTACTTTTGTTTTAGACAATGCAGGCCCGTATCCGGGGGGGGGGGGGGGTTGCCTTGGGTGGCTGTGTACTATTTATAACCAAAAAATGTGACCTTGTTCCCAGAATTATTATAAAATGAATCACATAACAGTACAGTATTAAGATTGTATGAATGTAGAAATGAGTTACAATAAGAATACTAGAGCGTTGACTCCACACGCGCAATCTTTTGTACTGCCACCAACATAACACAAGAAACATACACACGTTATATGCACGTTATCGTCTAGGTGTATCTTCCCCTAACTACCGGCCAATATGTCAGTGTATAGCAATGAAGTCAAAAGGCTAGAATGACACCCCGGTTAGACAAGTATAATCGTTCCTAGCGCTCTCAGAAATACCCTGAGACGAGTATACTCGACGCTGGAGCGCGCTCGTGTTAAACAATGGGGAGAAAGGAGCAGGAAATTAAAAAGCAAAAAGCTGTTGCAAAATCTTGCCAAACATTGGATGGCTGAGTCAACAAAAAATACCGTGAAGATAGGAATGAATGCCTACCACCCGATTTAGAAGAACAGTATGCGAACCAAAAGTAAGATGAACGGTTGTCCTGAAGGTATAGATTGATTTTAATAATGTTTTCCTTTGTCTTTGTCAACCCACGAACTATAGAAATAGAAATAGGCCTAATATTAAAGACAATTATTTAGCCAGTTGAAAATCATTTATAAAATAAAAGAAATTGGGAAATCTGGACAGATTTTCGACTCGAGGAAGGCGCGTATTTATTATAAATGACGTTCTGGAGCCTGGCGTTTAGTCGAGGAGGGAGAGGGACCTTTATTCCAATAAATAGGCCTACGGTATACTGTTTGGATACATTAATATTGTAAAGAGTTTTTTAGAGTTTTCTTTTTTTTTTTTCGTTTGAAATTCCGCAATAGAAGAATTTTTTTAGTAACTTTCATTTTAAAAAAATCATAGAGAATAATCAGTGCATCTCTGGACGAATCGAGGTGGTGTAACATGATAAACAAGAGCCTTGTATTAGTTGATTGCAAAAACAACTTAGGCAAGTACACCTTTTTTTTTTTATAAGAGAATAAGTACAGTTTTGTCCAGGCTCAGCGTTCTTATATTTTTTTTGCCGATTTCAGGCTCAAAGTATTCATATTTTGTTCTTATTTTAACTCACTTTTTAAACATACAACATTATTATTCTACAGCAGTGTATTTCTGTACTGTATTATTACAGTACTGTATTGTAAGTGTGCACCAACTGCAAATAAGGTAATGGTAAGGTTTGTTGGTTTTTCTACTACTACTAAAAAATAAAAACCTCACTTGTGGCATTTTAACTTAGCCTTAATTTATTCCTATTTTGTTCTTAATTTTTCCGCAATTTCGACAGCCTCATTCTTCTTATAAAATGTGCTCTTATAAAAAAAAATGTAAGTGATGTTGCAATTAAAACGTACAACGTTACTCGTATCATGATGATCCTTTTATACAGTATACCCCGTCACGGGTTCAATGGATAGATAGCGTATACATGCAGTATAATTATGCTTATACCTCTGTATATGTTTTCTGTCGATTCCAAGAATAAAACTGTTGATGAATTTGTTTCAAATGCTTCTAGTTGTTTGAATCAGCTCATTTACAGTCGCTTTTAATCCGCTCTTTATATCAAGCTTTTCTTCATTCATTTAAAAGCAGAATTGATTTTGAATTTTTATTCCTAATGGTTACGAATTTATACAGTAGTATTTTTCATTTGGGAAACAATTTGCTTGTTTCTCCGTGTCCTCCACTGGTAATGTTTTGATAGGCCCTATCGCTGTTTTCACGGACATATAGAGATTACATGATAAAATGCCTTCAAATTAGTCTACTAGGACTTAAGAAAGCAGATTTTTCCGGGGCATTCGGCCCCTGGACACCGACCGGGTACCCTGGGCGACCCCCTGGCCCCCAGCCTGGTTGCTCCCTGCGCGGCTCCCAGCCTGGTTGCTCCCTGCGCTCGCAAAACGCACCCCACCATTCAAAAGCTGGATACGGGCCTGCAATTCACCGTGAAAAAAAGGTTTTAAAGCAACTTCTAGGTAAGGGTTCACCTTAATATTTATAATATAAACAATAAAGTGAACATATTATGCCATGCAATTCTTGTATCTGTGAATCACTGTTCAAACCAATCCACATAACCTATTAACAATGCATGCAAGCAGGGGTTATCTAAGCATGGCTGGCCGAAAGTGATTTTGAGTTTTTTGAACGCTTGACTGACTAGAATGGAAACCGCTTCTCCAAACTACCTTCACCAAATAAAGACTATATACATACTTCGCAGCTGTAGCAACCCATCACAATGGGATGTTGCTATAAAATATATTGATAGAGTAGGTGTTGTACTGAAAAAAAAAATTTAGACCTATAAGCACAAGTTAAAGTTTAATCAGTGTGATTGAAAAAAAAAATGTGTTCAATAAAGGCTGCTGGTCACAGTATGAACTAATCTTAAGCCGGCTTCTCACTGAGGCCTACGGCGGTCCACCTTTGATGCCTGTGAGCTCAAGACGACGCACGTCTGCTGATTGTAGTAGGTGAGAATTTAAACGTTTGTGAGCGTGTCGTGGAGTGGCGTTCCCCATAGAATTGAGTGCCCGTCTTTAAATTAGTCGTTTATTGAAGACATCTTATCAAATTGTATTTTTAACATCAAGTATGATAAAAGATATACGGATACATTCGTATACAAGGTTGTTTCTAAAATACGTCTAAAATACAAAACTTACATAAAGAAAGTCATGGTTGTGATCGAAAAACGGAAACAATGTTGAAAGATAAATTATCCCAGAACTTCCATCATCATTGGTAGGTACAGCATTGTCACCTTCCGCCTCCCCGAAGGGAAACATAATATCTATGAAGATAAATGTATTTTTTCCGAAAAAATAGTGTGTACAATGAATACTGTAAGTAATATATAAAGGGTAAGTCGCAGGGTCGGGGGGGGGGGGCAGGGCCACCAGTCGGTATTTTCTACATATTAGTAGACTCTAAAATGGATTAAATAAGCCTTTGAAACCCATAAATTGTGAAAATTTTCGGGGGCTTCGCCCCTGCACCACTTTCGAAGCCTTTTAATCAAAGCTCGACCACGCCCAGTTTGCTTTCGTCGGGGAAATTTCACCCTTCGTCGGGAACCTTGCCTCCCCCTCCCCCCTTCTTTTAAATCTTGGCGCCATCCCTGGTATGTCGGTGAGTATAACATGCCTTCGACTAATTAATAGTCGACTAATTGGTTAACTGATCTATTTTTCTTTCTTAAAATTTAAAGAGATTGGATAATTGGAGATTGGATCCATCGCGAATTAAATATTCAATAATTGAATGAGTAGTTGACTGGTTGATTGAATGGATTTTATGATTGACTGGGCCAGTTGATTTATTATTTAATAAATTTATTAATTTGCTAATTGATTGATTGATTTATTATTTGACTTATTATTTTTCATTAAGAATAATAAACAAATTGTAGTGTTGTGTAGAAAGCTAAGAAAATATATTGAAAAAAATAAAAATAAAAAAAAGAACAGCTAAGAATGGGTGACCCATACATACGAAAGAAAAAAAATAGAAGAAAATAATAATAATAAAAATAGAATACAATAGTGGATGTCTGAACGAATATTAAGAATGGTACAGAGATGTATTAAGTAATTATGTAAGAGTATTGATATATTTACCACATTAAGCCAATTACCATTATTACTAATATGCAATGACCGTTAAAATGAGTGTATATATACTATATATACTATATATA